ATACAAAAATAAAATAAGACTCAAATTAAATGCATAATTTAATTATTTTTGTCTTAAGAACAAGAACTAATAGAAATATAAAAGAAAATAAAACTAAAACTAGATCTGTCTATCTGTTTCTGTTTTTTCTTTGACTAGAGGAGAAAAAGTTCTCTATTTCATTAGAAAATTTTAAGAGACAAAAATTTGTAGAAATTTGCACAATTTTTTTGAAAATTTTCAAAGTGAAAATTTACAGAAGATTTCCACATAAAATTTGCAAAAATTTTTACTTCAAAAATTTTCAAAAACTTGTATAAATTTTTGTGAAAATTTTTGGAAATTTTCAGTTAAATAAAAAAGTTTTTTATTATATAATACAAAATAATCTTATTTATTTACTGCTAAATGATTATACTAAATGATCTTGTTTTGAACTCTTTCAAAAATTATTATTCATAAAATTTTAGAATAAAAATTTTCAGAAATTTTCAAAAACTTATTTATTTAAGTAAGTTTATTAGTTTTTGATAAGGTTGAACACCATTGCTATCCGTAAAATCTTTATTTAATGTTGTATTGCCAGGTCATCCAAGATTCCAATGAAATTTCTTGAGTTCCTTTGGTTGTGTTAAATTGATGAATTAAAATAGAGTTCCTATAAGAAAAGTTCTCAATGTTCCATTTCTTGATTAACACAACTCTTATACTATAATGTTTTGCCTTTTCTGTGGTTTTTTTTTGTATATTAGATAGTAGTTCAACAGGTTATATTTATAACTTTGTGTTATTTACCTTTTTCATAGTTTTTAAAGTTTTAGGTATTTGTTTAACAGGTTATTTATAACCTTGCTGTCTAGAAGTAGGATACTTTTGGATGTTAATATGTTTACTTAGAAATAGTGCACAGGAATTGAATCAGTTTATTCAATACTATTTTTAATATCTTTTTTTTTTCTTTTTTATTAGTATCAATTCAGAATTTTCCAAAGATTTTTGATGAATTTTATTTTCTATTTTTTTCAAATATTCAAATTAAATTAGTTCTTTAGTTTTTTTTGATCACTTTTAAATTAATTGTTATTTTTTGTAATATTTCATAAAATCTTTATTATGTAAAAAAATGTAATAAACTAAATATTCTTTATTATATAAAAATATAGTAACTAATAAATGTTTGTAATGTTCAAAACATATATAATAACTAAAATCATAATGTTCAAAAATATATATATATATCATAATGTTTAAAAATATATATAAATAATTTAAAAAATACAATATACTAATAAATATTTATAATATTCAAAATTATAATAAATGTTTATAATGTTGAAAAATATAAATAAATGTAATATAATATATATACTAAAAATTTATATATATAAAAATTATTTTGAAAATATCTGGAGCTTTTGAAATTATTATTCCTCCTCCTCCCATTCTGATGACAATTCACTTTCCTCCTCTTCTATTTCATTATCAGAGTCGAAAGTTTCTAAGCTGAATACTTTATCATTTTTATATTTTTCTATAAAATGAAAAATATTAAATTTTCAATTTTCAAAAAAAAATAAACATTTTCTACTTAAATTATTTTTTTTTGTCATAATTCACAAATATTTATTATTATTTTTAATATTATTATTTTTAGATTCAAAAAAAATTCATATAAAAAAATAGCAAAAGTGATTTATTCTAAAGGAACTTTCAAAAGATTTGTTCAAAGTCTATTATTATCATTATCATTAATTTTTTAATATAAATAATTATAACATTCTTTAACTACAGATGATTCTTTCCACTTTTTAATTTCATTAGGCACAACCTCCAAATTTATAAATAGACAATTTTTTTCTTGATAAACTTGAAATATTGTAACTCTAATATGAGAATATAGCAAACTTCCTTGATCACTATGACTTTTTAATAACTAAAATATTTTTAAAAATTTTTAAGTAATTTTTAAAACTTTTTTTTCAAATATTAAAAAAAATATTTTTGTTTGAATTTTTAAATCATAATAAAGTATCCATTTCTTTTTGACCAATTTTCAAAAATTTCTGAATAATTTTTATCACAGTAATGAGCAACAGCAGCTTTTAATATTGTAAAATTAAGATAAATCTTCTCTTTAATTGATTTTTTTACAATTTCTCCAACAAATATCTTTTTTGAAATATTTCAAATCAGTAAAAAAGTTATCGATATTACAAAAAATAATAAATAAAATATTTACTTTGATAAAACTTTTATCATGAATTTCATTATGTTCTATCCACATTGTTACCTCTGATTTTATCTTTATTTTTTTATATTTTATTATTATATATTTTATCATATATGTATTATTTTATTATTAGCTATTATATATTTATTTTTTATTATTATAGTATTACAGTAGATCAATTTAATAGTTTGTAATACAAATTAGATATTATTACTTAAATTAGTAAATTCCTAAATTCTTGTTAATCTGTAGTACTAGAAGACAAATTAGAGTACAAGCCAGAATACAAGTTAATATCTCAATTAAAGTACAAGTTAAATTAACAGTTAAGATACCAGTTTGAATATTAATATAGTTACTAGTGAAGTTTATAGTCAGATTACAAGTTAGCTTAGCAGTTAAATTTATAATGTATAAAAAGGCTGAGAATTTTCTCAACTCAGTCTTCAGTTCATTCTTAGTTTTTTTTTCAAGTTCTCAAGTTCTTTAGTTCATTTTTGCTTAGTTAATTAGTTAGAATTTATTAAGTAATAAAGTTAATATTACAAAATCCTTTGAGTTCCTTGTTTATTGTATTCTTTTGATAATTGAAAAACTGTTTGCTCCTATTAACAAGTCCTCATACTACTGTTAATAGTTAATATGTCTCTTTCATAATTATTTATACATAATTTCTTCTACGTATAAACCTTTATATTATGATTTGTTTTATTTTGAGATTAGTATTCTTATAGTTATACTGTTGACCCTAGTTGTCAAATTTTATTTTTACTATATTTCTACCTTATTTATTTATTATATTATTATTTTATTATCATTTATTAGCTTATTTATAACTATATTTTGTTAGTTTGATTTCATATTTTTATTAGTATATATTATATAGGAAACTATTAGTATAAATCATTTAGAAATTGGTATAACTATTAGGTATTATGACTGTAGATATGAGTATAATCAACAGTGTAATGTATAGCATAATCAATAGTGTATTCAATAGTGTAATGAATAATATAATAGATAGTGTAGTAGAAAGTGTAGTTAATAGTGTATACATCAGTGTAATTAATAGCACTGGTTGAAAATTGATAAAACATACACATATCGGGTATCCGATATGTGTATGTTTTATCAATTTTCGACCAGTGTAGTGTATGCATTAGTGTAGTCTACAATATAATCTATTATTACTTCAACTATGTATATAAAGGGCTGGATTTCTCTTTACTCAGTTTTTAGTTCAGTTCTAGTTCAATTAAATTCAATTAAGTTCCAGTTCCAATTCAATTTTTGTTAATAAAATACTTTGTAATTTACCTTATTAATAATAAATATCCATGTGGATTATTATTTATACCATTGTAATTTCTTAGTGAAATTCTATATTATTTCTTGGTGGAATACTGAAACCCTTGTTAAATTATACCTTACTTTGTGATCTTGGTATATTGTTCTTGTGTTATAATTCTCTACTTAGTGTTAAAAATTATCAGTTTAGTTTAGTTTAGTTATATTCTTTGTTAATAGTTTAGTTAAACCTTTATAAAAATCTTATAGCCTTGCCTCTTTCGAACAAATCTGCAACATCTAAATCCTTCAACTATATTACCTTTTAGTATAAATTAATTAATAGTTTATTATATTCTAGTTTAGCTACTGTATCTTTAGCTAATAGTTAATTGTATCTCTTGAAGGTTGGATCACGGTGTTACTATAAGTTTCTTCCCTTTTAATTAGTTTCTTAATAATTTATTTTATTTCTTATTTGTATATTAGTATAATTATTTAGTATATTTAGCATATTTAGTATATTTTAGTATATTTTAATTATTAACTATAATTAGTATTTATTTATTTAGAAGTTTAATATGAAATATGTAAATTAATAATGTAAATCATGGTGGCCTAGTTACTGGTCAATTTACTGACCAATTTAGTGACCAACTGATTGACACAATTACTGATCAAGATTTTGGTCAACTTACTGACCAACTTACTGGTCAAATCAAATATTATAAAAAGGGTAAATTTCACTGGTCGAAAATTGATAAAACATATGTACATATATCAGGTACCCGATATACACCTGATATTAGAGACATACCATGCACATATCGGGTACTCGATATGTATATGTTTTATCAATTTTTGACCAGTGTTTTCTGTTTTCTCTTCACTCCAGAGAAATTCAGATAGTTTTTGAATAAGATTTGAATAATTCTAAATACTGAAATTTAGAAAGTAATCTCAACTGTAATTAATTCTATTAAATTAATATTTTTATAATCCTAAAGTAATTGGATTATTGATTTTCTTTGTAATAAACTTACATTTCCTATATTAAAACTCTGTTATCCTTTTATTAATTTATATTCTTCAAATATAAATTCTAATCTATAAAATCCTGTTATTATTTTATAAACCATTAATAAATATAATTAATTCCTTGCCTTAATTTCTTAAATCGACCTTTAAAATTTAATTGTTAATCAATATTTAAAACCTGCGATAATAAATTTTTAAGTCCTTTAATTAGTTTTTAGTATTTAATAAAATATTTTTTTTATCCTTCTTCTATTATCTTTCTCAATTTGTAAACTAAAGTAACTGCTTATGAGTTGCTAGTTGTAAATTGCCTTTTGGAAAATAAAATTAGTCCAAAAGGTTGACTAGTAACAACAGTCAACAATATCTAGTCTTGTTATTAGTTTTAGTATTATTTTATCCCATTGTCTTTGTAAATTGTAGAAGGTTTACACAGATAACAGTATGCAATAATTGATAAAATTTGTCAAATACCATTTGGACCTTTTTTATTTATAGCTAAACATTCTTTAAAAAGTTTCTATATGATTTTGTATTTTTGTAGGATATGGATTTAAAAATCCTGAATTATAAAGATCACTCAAATTTTTTTTTATCTACTTCAGGTTCTGAAGATCATGTTCAAAATTTGCACTAAATTAAAAAAAATAATAATAAATTTCAAATATTTGAATAACAATTATAATAATATAAATATTTACCATTGATATACTATTGTTAAAAGGAGTTATATTTGTACATCCAGCTGCTTTAAGCATTAAACTCCAAGCTTGTATTTCACGATCAGTAAATTTGTATATTTTTGGATATAAATGAGTTAATGTAATATTAATTTCAATAATATTTCCACACGATTCCCATTCTTTAAACAGTTGTAACCAATTTACACTAGCGATCGTTCACTTTTTGAGATGATACTCATATAAACTATTTATTATAACTTCATCAACCCATTGAGATAGTTGACATTCTGAAATAAATAATCTTTGTAAAATAGATTGTGTATATGCATGCTCAAGTCCAAATAGTTGTGTACCTCTGAACTTTTCTAGAATTCCAACTTTGCGCCAAACATTTTCTGGTGAATCACTTTTGAAATCTAAAATTTTTACATCACTATTTCATATTTCAACTATAAAATTGTTTTTTTATAAATTTTTGAACAAATAAATATCATTCTTTTCTATAAATATAAAAAAAAGAAGCTATATATCCTTCTCCAGCACTCATCCAACCTTCGTTTTTTGAAATACCTGAACCAAAAACCATAACTGACAACTTATTTTCTATACTAATTATATATGGATGAAATTCTATATCATATAATAATTCTGCAATTATTGATTCTTTATCAAAACCCATAACCATTGAACTGGAAATTTTTGTTTTAGTTTCGAAAACTTGTCTATATATAGATGTAATTGCATTGGTTGGATTATCTTCAATTTCACTTGAATCTGAATCACATTGACTAGTATAACCTGGCTGATTTTTAGAAATATTATTTCCTTTTAAAATTTGCATGATAAAATTTTTTCCATTTAATTCTACTTGTGTTTTCATACCAATTCGAATTGGATACATCATTTCTAAATTATTATCTTTTTTTATTGATGAAGTAAACCACCAATTTCGTGAAAATGAACCATAATGTAATTCAGAATCAAGTTCTCCACTTGAAATTAATGCAACTACTAATTCCTGTCGCTTTGCCATAATATTATATTAAACATTTTAAAATTTAAATTTTATAAATTTTATTTTTATTAATATGTAATAATAATTTGTGTATAATTTTATTAATTTTTTATAGAAGTAATTCTGGGTGATAAAAAAGGTGCAAACATTATAAATTTTTTTTAGATTCAAAAATAAAGAAATAATTATAAGTTAATTAACCCGAAAATCGCTATATATGCAGATCTGCACATGATCGGCGAATTACGAATTAATATTATATAAATAATATTTCTAATTATTTTTTTTAAATGCATATTTTTATTTTATTTTGAATAGGAACTAGTGTTCATGTTGAACGAATATTCTCAGGAGGTACAGATTTAGTAACACAAAGGAGATGCAGTTTAAATTCAAATACCATTAGAATGTGCATGTGTTTGAAAGGTTGGTTGAAATTAGATAATGAAAATATTAATGGAAATATAGTTTTAAAAATTTATTTTATATAATTTTAAAAATAATTTTAAGATATTTTATATAATTATAAAATTAGTTTTGATTAATTTTGTATCTATTTTTTCATTAATAAATAAAATATTAAATGAAAATTAATATAATCTTAACTGGTAATTTTTGAATTGTGATAAACAAAATATAATGATAAGAAAATTGCTAAAACTCACCAGTGATGATTTTCACCACTGGGCAAAATTAAATTTACGTGGGCAAAGTCAGGATGGGTTGATCAGGGAATTATGTAATTTTGCCTAGTGGTGACAATCATCACCAGTGAGACATTAAAATTTAAGAAAAAAACTACATTTAACCGGAGGGAAAATTAACCGGTGGGCAGAATTAAGTTAATGTTGGTAGGGTTAGGGGATTGACCAGGAATTATGTAATTCTGCCTACGGTGAAATTTCCCCTTGGTGAAAATTAGCATCATGTCCCGGTTTCAAACCGAAACCGAGCCGAACCGTTGAGAGCTTTATATGTAATACAATAAGATAACAGAAAAGAAAGATAACGAATTATGATTGATAAGTATCGTATTGAATAAGAATCGGAATAAGAATTGAATTAAAATTTGTGTTACGACCAAATGAAGAGAAAAAACGTCGACAAGTAATGAAGACGAAGAATAACGGAGGTAAACTGGGAATGGACGGACAATAGTAAATAATATAATATATTCTTATCTCTTACTGAATAAAAAATGAATAAAATATGTATTTTTTGAGAAAGATCTATTATTATTAGTTTCAATTAAAATTTTCCACCAAGAAAAGATTTAAAGTGATCTTAAATTACGATTAATAGGTCACGCACGCAAAATATAACCAAAAAAAGATATGCCAAGTGAAAAAGAACATCACCCCACGTAAAAAATATTCATTCATTCGTGGAAGGAACGCATAATAATGAAAGTTATATCATAAAATATAATATAAAGCATTAGCGTAAGTTCGCGAATTAATTATTTGATTTTTGAGAGGCGAAATAATTTTAAATGAATCTTAGGAAAAAAAGATAGAACACGAAACTTGCACTCTTTACCAATCCCTCAAAAATCTAAATAATTTATGAAATTTTTTTATCGTTAATCAATATTACTATTACTAATCTAACTAATAATGATTTTCAGTGCAATGTAAATTGTTGTATATTTATTTTTACCATGTAAAAATACTAATTAATGATAATTTCTTAATAAATTTGTTTTTTTTATGACCAAATAAATCTTAGTTTTTATAATCGAATACACGTGAAGCGTCGCCATTTTTTTAATCCTTTGTTTATATTTTTTCGAAGTTTACCCCATTTTTTTTAGGGCGATGTTTAGCTTTCAAAAAAGAAATCTTTTTAAAAATAATAATCTTTTGTTGTTGTTTATTGCATAACATAAATATAAATATAAATATAAATAGGCATGCGTCTCGTTTTTCCTTAACTTTTTTTCATTCAACATAATTTTTTTTTCACACTATCAAGAAACGCTTTTAAGCATTTTGACATAAATTTATTAAATGATTTTAGTTTAAAACAATCATGTTAATATCTATTTGATGAATTAATTTTTATCCTTTGATTTTGGAATAAGTGAAATATACTTCTTTTAAAAAAATAACGAACTGAAGTATTCCTAAATGATTATTTATATTATAATCCTCTAAAGAAAAATATAGTTTTATTTTTTAAACAACCTTGAAAAAAAATATTATCTAAATCATAGTATCAATTTTTTTTAGGCCGAAATAATTAATCAATTAATAAACCCTCATTAGGACACTTTCATATCAAATCTTTATCTTTTAAAATATTCGTTAATTTGTGCAAACATTAATATTCACAAGCTCGATAATTGTAATGAAATTCTACAAAAAAGATATAATTTTATAATGATAAAGAGAGGGGATAGTTGCAGTTTCTTTCTAAAGAAGACCAATTAAATCATTTTGATATTTCTCAACGGCACACAACAAAAATTGTATCGGTGAGAACATGTAGTAATTACCAAAGTAAATTTTTGCAAATTAACCGAAGACAATTTTCTCAATGGCACTCATGATGATATTTCCGATTTATTCGATATATTGAGCAATTTTTTTTACGAACTTCTGAATTGTCTCAGGACGACGATTGTTCACCTCAATTAGTCCAATTAGTCCATTAAGAAATTTGTAAAACCACATTTTAATAGTATCCTTGTAACGGAGTTATTCTTTTATATTATCGGCTTGTATTTTAGTTCCCATGTTATTGTGATTAGTAGAAATATCCACCATCTTCCATAGCCTCAGTTAACATATTCATCATTTATTTCACCTTCACTTAGAATTCTTATTTATTTTTATTATATATTGAGACATGAATGAGTTAGAATTTAGAAATATAGATAATAATTTCCCACTTTAAAATATATCTCAGATGCCAAATATTGTTGAAGAAGTGAATGAATATGAGCATTCATAATTTTCAAATCATTTCGGGACTACCATCTTTTAAACTCCTAAAACTATTATAAGTTCTTTTGCATCGCTCTCTCTTGAATTTCCTTTTCTATATTTAAAAACCTAAATCTTTTATAAATTTCATGGTTTTATTTTCAAACTGCACATAGATTTAGTTATAATTTGACAGTTATTATTATTACAACTACGAAAAATATGAAATTATTACTGTTGTTATTTTAAAATCTTGCAATATTCAGGCAATTTTCTCTATTGGTCTTGTATTATTATATATGTACATCAAATAATTTTCATTTCTTTATCGTTCAAATATCAACATATTTTAATATTTTTTACTACAAAATTCGCCATATGCAGCACACATTTTTATACGATCTCAATCTCAACCAATTATATCAGACTTTACTTGTCATTATACTTTTTCTTTTTCTTTAACATGCATGCTTTGCACACATATTTATATATTTATTTTCCTATTTTTTAAATTCTTAGTCGTCTTACCAACGAACATCAGATAATCCCCTTTTCATATTATCTTAATCTTCTATCATTTCTTCGACCACCAAATATTTTCTTTTTTCATTTTCTTTCCTATGGCATGGTGGACTTTTTTTTTCATTGACTTTGGAATATATTTCTAATTAATTTTTATATTTTCATTTTTTCTTTATTGGTCTTCTGTAATATATTTTTTCCGAATTCTCATTAAAATAATGAAAATATAAGTCATGTCATATATCATCCTTTATTAATGTGCGCGCACAGGTTTAATAAACGGAGTAATTGAAAAAGATGAAAAAATAAAATATTAAAAATCACTTGGCAATAACAAATTTAAACCATGAGACCACTTGAATAATTGTGATATTATCTTCAGTTTCTAATTGTGATATTATTTTCAGTTTCTAATTGTGATATTATTTTCAGTTTCCCATAATGCCATTTTTCACATAATTCCTTCCAGTATTCTTTTAGGTATTCTTTGAAGCCAACCATTCCTTCCATAATTGTTTCCCTAGCATTTTCTCTAGATTTCAACATAGCTTTTGAAATTATAGAAAAAAAGTTTTGGAATCGACAAGAGTGGCTTGAATATGTCATACTTGTATAGCTTACTATTTTTATTAGTTCTGTGGGGTCAGTCAAAATCTTTAAAATTTACTACAGACTTTTTACAGTTTCTTTTCAAGTTTACTTCTGATCTCAAAGTTTATTATAAAGCACTATTAATTATTTCATATGCAATAAAATTTTTTCTAATCATTAGATCATGAGAAAGATGGATAATGAGTAAGTTCTAATCTTATAATTTTTAATTTGAATTATTTTTTATACCTTATTTATTTTTTTCTTGCTTAATATAATATATCCAAATATTTAGTTAAATATATATTGGGTAGCTAAAGGTTTTTTCAAGCTAATAAAATATCTCTTCTTTTATATTCTATTAAAGTATGCTGAATCAATATTAAATTACGTGAGCAGCAAAAACGAACTATGAAGAATGAAACACTTAACTAACAATCAAGCAAATACCCAATAATTATTATTATTAAATTGATTATTAATATTTTAAAGTAAATAATATTTTTTTAATTAACCAACTTTAAATTAATTTAATGTTCATTTTAATTTTAAACAAATAAAATTTAAGTTATAAAATAATAGTTTAATCAGATCATATTTACTTAATTCGCGATTCGCGAGAAACGGAAAGGATTTACATAATAAATTTTGGGGCAAAATAAAATTTTTTGTTTATTAAAAAAAGGAAACTTTATCTTATTTTATTAATGTAACCATTTGACTTTAAAAATATATACAGTCAGAACCTTTGATTTTTTTATCATAATTGATAAAATGACACTTGTAATTTTCCCCCATTCCGGCTTTAAATTATCGCATATATATATTTTTCTATAACTTATCCGTTTCTCGCGAATAATTAATAAATTTTTTTATCAAAAATTATTAAAAATAGCATGAATTTTATATACCGTTAATTTTTAGTAAATAGTATTTTGTTATTCTGATTTAAAAATATTATATTATTTGGAACATTATTTTTCCAGATCAAATTGAACTCCATATTCTTCAATAACTTTAAGATGTTCATCACTTAATGTAAATATTCGCTCTTGTTCTGTACGTTTTACAATAATCTTTTTATCTCCTCCTCCTCCTTTGCAACACCACCCTTCAAAAAATTTTCACAAACTATTAGCACTAAATTTCTATGGATAATAATCCATTCTAATTTCACTAGTTTCAAAAATAGTTAAGAGAAATCATTAATAATGACTGATTTTATAATATAAAGAATTATCTTGATCTTTGGTCTTACCATTAGGGTCAATAATAATTTAATTTATTTAATTAATTTGAGATTCGTATCGTCAAATTTTCAAGGTTTTCGTTTATACCCGGGTACAGTAATTCGTACAGTCTTACTTTAAAATCAATTGTCACCATGTAAAATACCCTAAGATATTTTCTTGCTATTGTAATTAAATAAATCTATATATAAATATTTTGTCTTTATAAATTACTAAACTTACTAAATTTCAAGCTATTAAAATTCCTTGCCCTGAGTTCTTATTTATTCTATCAAAATTATGTTAAATTAAATTACGAGAGCAACAACAATGCGATGAACTATGAAGCGACGAAACACTTCACTATCAATGAATTTAAAAAATTTAAAAATAAAGGTATAAAATAATAAACTAACATTTCTATCTTTTCAATATTCTCACATTCAATGTAACAAAATAACAAATGACACAATGAAACACATAACTTAACATACCATATTTTCTTATTTGGTACTACTGTATTATTTTGGGATATTATTCTACTTTAAATTGAACTCCATATTCTTCAATAACTTTAAAATGTTCATCACATAGTCTCGCTTCTTTTTTACGTTTTACGATAATCTTTTTATTTCCTCCTCTTTCTTTACAACTCCAACCTTTCATAAATTTTCTTAGACTATCAACACTAAATTTTTCCATTCTAATTTCAATAGTTTCAAGTGATTCTGGTACATTTTCGGCCATTTTGTATAATAATTCATCAGCATCAAATCCTTCTCCTCGACAATCAAATGAAAGTCTTCTTAATTCGTTAAAATCACTATTAAATATTGATATTATCTGTTCAGGTCTTAATTTTAGTAAAGTTAATTTGGTAATATTTGTACAATAATTTAAAATTGCTGTATCGAATGAAATTGTGGGATGTAAATCTAGATAAATATTTTTTAAATTTGTATTGGCTGTTTCAAAAATTTTAATAATAAATTCTTGAGGATACGTTCCACGTTTATATTTATAATGAAAACTACTTAATTGGGTAAATAATGATGCCAAGAATAAACAATCCGAATTAAATAATCCGTAACAATCTTCGATATAAAGTTCTTGAAGTGAAATAAATTGATCAAATGGTAATGAATTCCATTCGAAATGAAAAAATTCCACTTGTCTTAAACGAAGACTCTTTAATGTTTCCTTTTGACTAATGATCGCTGAAAATATTGAATTATAATCTAGATTATAATTAGAACCAATTGATAAAATTTCTAACCGTTTTTGAACACTTATAATTTTTACAAATGATTGCACTTGAAAATTTGAATTAAATTCCAAATTCATATTTAAAATATTATCGCAAATTAATGCTAATGATTCATATAATGGGTGCATCAGTTCATTATCTCTTATTGTCAAAGTAAGACTTTCTAATTTCTTAAATACTTTTGGAGCACCAGGTAACTCAAGAAATGAACCAATTAACTCAGAGTAATTGCGAAAAAGTTTAGAAAAAATTTCGGGAACTCCCACCAATTTAAAATAATCCAAAAATGAACGATTTATTATTAATTTACATATCTCACGAAATAATATACTCGGTTTGGTGATGATGATTTCGTTATTATTATTATTATTGTTGTTATTATCTTGAATAATTTGTTGTGAATACATGGAAATAAAATAAACTAAATTATTAATAATAAAATTATGAGTGAATGATGGATAATCAAAAGTGGCTTGAGGTGGTGACGATGATAAATCAAATCCATTCTGAATAAGTAAAGTTCTAACTTGAGTATCCATACATGATATGTAAGTTCGAATACATAATGCTTTCTTTTTCAATTTATTCTTATTATCGGTACAACATTCTTGACCAAAAGGTAATTCCCAAAGTAGAGGTATAGCAATTTTACACCATACTCGACTAACCAATGATGATGAATATAAGCCTTGGGTCGATTGAGAATTATTATTTATAATTTTAATTATTATTTCTATGGGAAAAATAGACATTTTTTTTTGTCGATTAAAAAAATGATCGTGACATTTATATAATATTTATGATTCAGTATGTAACGTAATGATTACCAAATAATAATCCAAATCCAAAATACACAGCATACAGATTATCCATAATAGTAATCGAGAAATAATATTAGATATGCATCAAATTTATATGTAATGTTTACCTAAATAATAATCAAAAATACACAAAATACTCGTCTCGTTTGTCTAATAGTTTCGATTAATTTTTGTTTCCTCCGCCTCCTCCTTTACAGCAGCATCCTTCAAAAAATCTTCTTGAATTATCGGATAATGATAATCCATTTTAATCATAATTGTTTCAAGTAATTCTAGTACATTCTCAGCCATTTGACATAATAATAGCACAATCAAATGAAATTATGCTAATTGGTAATCTTTGTAAGATAGTTTATAATTGCTGAACTATATCAAATGTAATCGTGGGATATAAATCTAGACAAATATTTTTTTAATTGTATTAGCCGTTTCGAGAATTTTTATATTAATTCTTGAGAATAACTATTAAAATGATGATTCGAATGAAATAATAAAAACTACTTAATTACTACAAATTTAAATGGCAATTTCGGCACTTTATCCATGGATTATCATAGTTTCAAGTGAATTGCTTTGTTCAAAGAAGCGACGAGACCTTTTCCATAGAAATTGAAAGAAATAAGAATATTAATCAGTTCAAGGAAGCTATTAAGGAGAGAAAAAGGAAGAGTTTCATAGCGTCGATTCAGAAAAGTTTAAAATATGGAAGGCTCAGATTCGCGAGAGTAGTGGAGGGTTCTATGATCTTATACTCCATGACGGCGATCAACTTCGCGAAGGAACAAGGAAGATTAGTAGTTACTTCACCGATGAACCACTCTGTGATCATATATACATTATTATCAAACCACCTCTACCGCCTTTGGAATTTAGCCTTTTACATTATATGGGGCTTTTGTCCGAAGGAGGTATTGTATAATACTAGACGAAGATTGTATTCATAAAGCGACATTACGGGAAGGTTGTCTTTATGCAAAAGACGGTAAATATAATTTGTTTACAGAATTTATACGAGTTATAAAAAAAATCAAAACCAAAAGAAAAACTTCGCCCCAACGATTTTCACAACCTAAAGATTAATTATATGACTTATTGGGAAGTTCGCGAAAAACTCTATAAATTGTATTTTGATCAAGATGAAGAAGAGGATGAAGGTAATCTTATATTACTCATTTTTTTTAATCAAAATATCCCTTAATTTTTGTCCTGTATTTCATTCAAATAGAAATTGTTGATAGTAAGCCTCCGAAGGACAATTCGGGGAGCTTCCAAATACAATCGAAACAGTTCCCTGGAACAAAGATCTCGAGAATCGCCTCTGCCAGCTGTACGTAAGGGATGATGTCGTGGACATATTTTGGTGCCGAAACATCCCCACTGATAAAAAAACATTGAGTGTTTACGTAGTTACTCGGAATCTTAGCCGACTTGAATATACAGAGGAGGCCACAAAAGGTCAAGTAATTCATTTTATACCAGAAGAAAAAGGATTTCTCAATACCGAAATTCCACCACAAAGAGCTTATGATCCTCTGCCAACCCAGAATAAGTTCCCACAAGATTTACAGAAGGCTTTTGATGAAGCCTTAAACAATGAACTGGGGTCATCATTCCGCGAAGTGAATTATAAACTGGTTGGTATGAGCACCGGATGTAAGCGAACTAAAGGTAAATTTATCAAAAAACCTGCTATCATACTATATGCTCGCCAGAAGGCATTCTACGCCGAGGATGTGGTGGCTTATTTCCAAGAGAGATTCGTGAGTATCCGGTAGATGTTGTCGAGGCTTGTGTTGCAACTCCCTACGGTTTTGGTGCGAGTTATTGTCAAGCTTATAAGGGTGATGTTAAGTTGGGTCGAGTATAGGAATATAGAACCGCAGAAAATCACTGGAACCCTCAGTGCTATCGTGCATGACAAAAAATTAAAACAGATAGGTATTCTCTCATGTGAACACGTATGCAGGTTTAGTGGATCGAGATCTGAGGCGGATGTCATAATTTTATCAGTCTTCGCATGATGATTTAGATGAACGGAAACGATTATTAGTTGAAATTGCATTAGATGATGAAATGTACAAAGAAGAATCTGAAAGTATGTGTTGTAAAATCAAAAAGAATAGATAGAATTTTGCCCTAGCTTGCTATGAGCGTGGAATGCGAATCAACTTCCCCTCTAAAGTGCGCCAAAAGGACTTTGGTGTTGATTCCGCTTTTTGTATTTTCACAAACAAAAATCAAAAGTTGTGTCCGAATAAATTTTCAGTTTCCCCAGAGTGCTTTGAAAAAGAAAAGCTTCCTGAAAACATCTGTCTAAATGGTTTTTATACATATGAAAATTTTGATAACATTGATGAGATTGAAGTCTTTAAAGTTGAAAGGGAAACAGGTCTTTCTTGTGTAAAATTTGTTCCTATTAGCTCTGCTAATTGCATTGATCTCAGAGATCTTGATTTTACAAACAAATGTATCGAATTCGCAGCAGAAACGCACGGCGAAATCCCAACATATAATATTATTACAGATAAAGAACACTTTGTTCGATACATGAAGACACCGACGTTTCAAAATTGTCAGAAATGTTACCCAACTGTGTGGCTCGATTGGCAATTAATTTTTAGTTTCAGAACTAGAGACTTCGAACCAGGAGACTCGGGAGCAAGTGTAGTGGATCGAAAAGGAAAAGCCCTTGGTATTCTTCATGCATCGTGAATCGCAGAAAATTCTAAATACGCTATTGCTTCCCCTTACTTTGCAGTTTTTGAGGCATTGGATGTAGAACCTGTGGAAACATAAAATTCGGCTAATTGATGTTTTTGCAATAATTGATTTTGCCATACGCTGTTCAGTTTCTCATTTTTATAGGTAAAAAGCAATAAAGCATTTTTCCGGCCATAATTAAGATGGAAATGAAAAGTACAAACAAGAAATCACAAAATATTGCGTTTCATTTTTAATATAATCCAGTTTGTAATTAATATTGGGATAATGTGTCAGTACAGATAGTTTAGACAAACGAAAAATTTATAGTGTAGGCACTAGTATTGTAACAATTGATGGATTTGATTCTTTTCGATTTTTTATTACAATTAATAAAGAAAAGGCAATTTTTTATAATATTTTTTCATGTGATATGGAGAATATACTGTATACTATGAGAATTTTCATTTTTTCATGATGGAATTTCAGCCATATGATTAAACTTTTGAATATAACTACATATGAGCAAGCTAGTTCTTGTTCAAAATTATTTAATTATAAAGACAAGTTTTGAATAAATATTTGTTGATGTTTATTATTTTCCTTTAACAAATTTGTAGATTCTTTACAGGAAACGAGTTTCATTCCTTTCAATCCTTTTCCAAATATAATTTTGAGATTGATCGGAAGAAATTTCTCCATTATTAATTTTCAATCATTATTTTTTTAAATCTTTGAGAATGCAAGTATTTGCAGGTCATTTGACAAACTTTTTGTCAATTGCATGCTTCAAAAGATTATCTAGATTCTCTTCAGTAATTACTAATATTTCAATTTCGCAATCTGCATTGTAAGCCTCTTCAACACAGGAGTATAAGGATTTTCTTTTGGTTTTGTTCTTTGGTATTACTAAAGTAGTTTCAAAGTTATTTCTTTAATAGAACTGAGACTTAATTGTATTGCAACTTTATCAGTATGAATATCGAAACTTTGATAGAGATTTACTAATAGTTGTTGTTGTTCTGGGGAGAGTTGTAAATTCATTTTGTTCAAATTAAAATTACCCATAGTACAAATTATAAGTATATATATTGATTTCAATTTGTATGAAATTAGTTTTGTGTAATTAAGGGGTTACTACATGTGGTTGTACAAGGTATCTCTGTTTATAGTGTTTTATTCTTTCTGCAAGAATTAGATAGGCATTGACTCCCAATTTTTTTTGTATCCAAAATGGTCCATTCCATTTTATTGAAAATTTATCACCATGCACATGCTGTTTTTCAGAGTCATACAACAAAATGATATCATCAACTTTATGGGTCTGAGCTTTCTTCAAATTTTTTTGTTGATTTCTTTGGATTTCTTGGGCATGTTGAATATTTCTATGATTAATAATTTGAGCATCAATAAATATTCCTCTTAAGGCACTAATCCTTCTACTTAAGGATTATTCAAAATTTTCAATTGAATTAACTCTTGTTCTTGTTTTTGGAATTCAATATCAATAGGTAGTTGAGCTTCTCTGCCATGAACAAGATAAAAGGGGTTTATTTTGTGGATTCATGTTTCAAAGTCCTATATGCAAATAAAACACTGGGGATTAATTAGTCCCAATTAGAATCACTAGTTTGTAGACTTTTAGCAAAAGCTCTACATAAGGTACCATTGAACCATTCAGTTAGTCCATTTGTTTGGGTGATAAGCTAATGCAAGCTTATGTCTGAATCCTACTTCCTCTTTCATTAATTTGATAGTATCATTAACAAAATGAGTTTCTCTATCAGATAATATTATTGAAGGAGTTCCATGTTGACAAATAATTGTTTTCATATAAAAATTGGCTGTTTCCTTAGCAGTAGCTTCTTTCACTTCTTTAGCTTCTGACCACTTTGTGAAATAATCAACAGCTACTAAAGTGTATTTATTTCCAGAGGAAGTAATATTTAAAGGTCCTATGTAATCAATTCCAATTTGAGACTTTCATAGGAGATTGGCTCTGGTATTAATTTTATTTCTGACAGCTTTATAAGCTTCATACTCATCTCCACTATCATTAACATATTCAAAATAACAAATTCTTTTGATTTTGAAATTGTTGATTTATTTTTTTTCAGATAAACAATTCCTGGTGAAGTGCAGAGTAATTATGTGTTTAATTCATAATTGTTGAAATATGGCTTTACAAGTGATTATTGAAGTGGATTCCTTGTTCAATGACTAATTCTTGAGGACAACTATGTCTACATAATATATCTTCAATAATGAAATCAGCTATATTTTCAGCTGTGGCTTTTTAATTGCTCTAGCCTCAGGCCATTTAGTTAAATAATCAGTAGTGACAACTATATCTCTATTTCCTTTTGAAGTTATCCCACATTATCCATGCTTATATGTTGAAATGATTTGCCAATTTTTATAGAATGCAGTGGCTCACAGTTTTAGGTCTTCCTGTTTGACATATTGTACTATTTTTAATATAATCTTTCATATCATTTCCCATTTGTGACCGATTGTAATGTATTGCTATCTGATGATAAGTGGATTGAAATCCCAAAATGTCAAAAAGTGAAGACGCATAACACAGTAGTAACTTCTTGATGTTGCAGACTCTTAGTGATTGCTGGGTCAACTATATACTAGAGTCCATCTTGAATTATAAATTTTGAATTTCGAGTTAAGGTCTTTTAATTTTTGGGGAAGGAGCAAAGAAATTTAGTTTAGCGTAAAGGCCATATGTTGTTAGATCTATTTTGACAGTCAATAAGGAAATATGAAGATTGTTTTACTAATTAGGTCTATAGGCAATTTCTGGAGATGTTTTTAATATGTAAGAAATAAAATAATAAATAATTAAAACTAATAAATAAGTGAGTCATATAAAAATAAAAATAAAATGATGGAATTTGGCAATTCATTATGTATTTATGACGTGACTATTTACATTAAGTGAAGAACATTTTAAAAATAATAGTCTAGTCAATTTACTTGATATTTAGAGGATCATTTGGAATTAACAGAAAGATCTAAAAAAAATTTCTTAAATTATCATAACTAAATGTTCCCATATAATTTTAAGCGATTCTGGTACATTTTCGGCCATTTGGTATAATAATCTATTAGCTTCCAATCCTTTTCCACAACCAAATGAAAATATCCTTAATTTATTAAAATTATTATTAAATATTGCTATTACTTGTTCAGAACTTAAATTTAGTAAAGTTGAGTTGGTAATCTTTATACAATAACTTAAAATTACCGAAAATATAACAAATGAACTTGTGGGATGTATTTGTAGACGAATATTTCTTAAATTTATATTTGCCGTTTCAAGAATCTTTACAATAAATTCTTGAGACACATCATATGACTTTATAAAATGAAACTACTTAAGTGAGTAAATGATGAAGCCAAAAATAAACAATCCGATCTATGCAATTCAGAACAATCTTCTATATAAAGTTTTTGAAGTGAAATAAATTGTCCGATTGACGGTGATTTCCACTTAAAATACTTGAAATGATAAAAATTTAATGATTCTAAACGACGAATCTTTAATGTTTCTTTTTTAACAATGATAGCCCAAAATATTGAATCATAATCGGGAGGATCTCGACTACTTTTATCAACAATTGATAGATTTTCTAAAAGTTTTTGAACACTAATAAGTTCTGCTAATATTTGTACTTAAGAACATGAACTAATTTCTAAATCCATATTAAAATATTATCGCAAATTTGATGCCAATGTTTCATATAATGGACGATTCTGTTCATATCTTATTATCGAAGTAAAACTTTTTAATTTCTTAAATACTTTCAGAGCACAAGGCAATTTGAAAATTGAGCAAATTTAAAATAATCCAAAAATGTACAACGATTTATTATTAATTTTCAGGTCTCATAAAATAATATTCTCGATTTGGTGATGGTAGTTTCGTTAATATTATTGTTATTATTTTGATCGTAACTAAAAATTCATTGTGAATATATGGAAATAAAATAAACTAAATTATTGATTATAAATTTATGAGTAAATGGTGAATAATCTAAAGTGGCTTGAGGTGGTGATGATAATGAATCAAACCCATTTTGAATAAGCAAAGTTCTAGCTTGAGTATCCGTACACGATATATAAGTTCGAACACAATTTTTTTATTCATTAAATTATTACCAACCAGATATTCTTGAACAAAAGGTAATTCCCAAAGTAACGATATAGTAACTTTACACCAGATTCGATTAACTAATGAAGATGAATATAAATCTTGAGTTTTAAGAAATGATTGAAGATTATTTAAAATCATAATTAATATTTCTGTGGAAATTTTTAGTTGCCATTTTTTTTTTCGCTTTAGGTCACATTTATATAATACAGTGTGTAACTTACACAAAATTAATAGACCACGCCAAAACCTAACTGGTAAATATTTATTAATTAAAATAATAATAACAAAGACACAAATATCAAATTGACCGAGAATGTACCAAAATCACATGAAACAATTGAAATTAGAATGTGAATATTTTAGTGCTAATAGTCTAAGAAAGTTTTTTTTGAAGAGTGGTGTTGTAAAGGAGGAAAAAATAAGAAACTTAGGAGATTATGTATAAAAAGTTTATTAACGCCGGAAGATTTATTATTATCATTAAATTTTGTAGCAACAAGGTGTATGTTTTTTAAAAAAAGTTATTGAAGAATTCAATCGGATATGAAATAGTGTTCCAAACATTACAAATAATATTTCAATTGATGTGTCGCATTTTGTGAATTTGATTATTTTCTAAAGCTTTAATTATTAAATAGATGTGATACGAAGAAGTTTCACTACATTTCTGCAGAAATATATCAAATCTGGTGTAAAGTTACCATACCTATACTTTGGAGACTACCTTTTGATCGAGATACGGATCACAAGAAGTCGAGGAAGAAAGCATTATGTATTCGAACTATATATCACGCATGAATATTCAAATGGATTTGATTTATCACCAACACCCAAGACATTTTTGATTACCCATCATTTACTCACAATTTATAATTGATATTTAGATTATTTTATTTCCATATGTTCACAACGAGTTATTAGTTCAGATCGCGAAAATAGAAATAATAATAATAATAACGAAACCACCATCACCAAATCGAGAATATTATTTTATGCGACATATAAATTAATAATGAATCGTTGTACATTTTTGGATTATTTTTAAATTGGCGGGAATTCACGGAAATTTTTGTAATTATATTGATTTATTCTCAATTATCTAGTCCTGGTGCCCTGAAAGTATTTAAGAAATTAAAGTTTTTATTTCGATGATAAGATATGAACAGACTCGTTCACTATATAAATCATTAGCATTAATTTGCGATTATATTTTAAATATGGATTTAAAAATTAGTTCATGTTCTAAAGTACAAATATTAGAAAAACTTATTTGTCTTAAGGTCACGTGATTTCCAAAAAGAGATAAATTACATCCGCTTTAGGCGAATTTCTTTTTTGGGCGAATCTTTTTAGAAAATTCCGCAGTATGAATTTTTTTTTTTTCCGAGTATCCGAAACAAACTTGCATTTCTTCATTAATAATTGCTCTAGCATTTTCATTAAATCGATTTTTTCATTTAATTTTGCATAATTAATTCTTCGGAAGGAGAGATGTCCAAATGGTGAGTTTGAAGATATTAATTTTGTAAACCTTATCCGTATTATCCATAACCTTTTTGCACACAAACGCCATGTACAAAAGTAATTAGGATTAAATCCCAATATTAATGCTAAAAATTTCTAGTCACTATTAAAAATATGTTTCTAAAATTGATAAATCTGCTAAATCTATCTAAAATGTAAAGGTTGGAATTCCAAAAGTGTTTTTCCAGGGAACAATAGCAACGGAAACATTAATATTTTCAGATAATTTAACTATTTAATTGTTAATATACAAAAAAAATAATATTTTTATCTTTTAAAGATTTGAATCCAATTTTGTGAATATTTTTAATTTTTTCATATGGAACCTATTCTAAATTGCTTACATATTTTACTTTGAAAGATATGTATTGATTTGTATCATTTTTTTTTGAAAAATTTTGAAAAAATAACAAAGGTTTCAATAGTTGTTAAATTAATTCTAAATAGTCAAAAACATTGAATAATTGTAGGCCATACTTGTCAATATAATCGGGCGCTATTACACAAATGCTAATATTTTTATCTCAGTTGTTAAAATTCTAAAATCTTTGACGGAACAATATGTTTAGCTGTAAATATAACAATTCTCTTTTTGTCAAAATATAAATCTTATCATTTTTTATCGACAGCAGAATATGGTTCTGGTCAGATTTATAAAACAACTTCTATGAAAAAATAAAAATGTCTTTAATGTTTTAAATGCTCAAGAACAGAAATCAAGTTTAATTTATTATACAGTATCTTTACTATGTATAAACATACATGCAGTTCTTTTCTATCAAAAAGAATAATAAATTTATGTTTTCAGTAACAAGAGTCCAGGGTCAAGGACATTTTTTATTTAAATTATTAGCATTTGTATTTAATCAATAAAGATTAATTTTTTTTTTATAAATTTATTTTATTCTGTACTACTAATAAGAGCTCAAGAGTAGGATATCTTTATTTATTCAGGTAGTAATATGTAAATACTAATGTTTTTTTTTTTTGTGAATTTATCTTATTTTATGTCATAAATGTATTAAATTCATCAATGCTATTGTTATATTTTTCTATTAATCTTTCATATTCAATAAAAACATTAGGATTAGTTTTGATTGAATCCTTATTAAATGATGCAATTTCTATGTTGTTCCATGATGTGGCTCTACTTAGTGCTACATATGCTTGTTCATGTACAAATATTGTTTCATCCAGAGATGTTGTCATGTGAGGAAGTGTTAGCCCTTTTTTTTTGTGCACTGTGAGTGCAAATGCATTTTGAAATGGGAATTGACAATAAATTCCATTTAATTTGAATAACTTGTTTCTTTTATACTATTACATTAGAAATGCCTGTTTTTAATGGAAAGGCTACTTGGACTGTGTCATATTCAATACTTTTAAGACTACACCTATGGAACCATTAAATAAACCCTTATTATACAATAAATTATTAAGAAACATTTCCCTTATACCCTCCTTAAGAAAATTTTTTTTTTGGAAAGTTTATACAGTGATTAAATAATCTATCTGCTTCAGTAGGTGTTATTGAGCATTACTCATACCATATAATCGATTGCTATTGATTCACAAGGACCTTCAATGTTCATTAACTAATGGAAGATAATTCCCATTAATATCATTAATATTTGATGCGATGTTTCTATATCCTACAATGTGAGTGGTATCTAATACATTATTTGTGAAATTATATCTGTACATTTTTTGTTGTACTTTATTAATGATATTTTCAGCAACATTTTCCATTCTGATTTCTTCAAGCATTTGGTAAATGATTCATTTCTTTGCTGACAATGAGCGGTAGTTAAAAATATTGGAAAAAGATTAAATCATCTTGAATAGGTGGTATTTGAAGAACAGGAACTCCGCAAAATTCGAAGTGATTTTTTCTAATACGGCCAAATAATATATTTAGCTTCTGTTATTGTATATTCCACTTTTTGATGCTCTTTGATATAAATTTTGATCATTATACACAAGTGATTGAAGATTGTAAAGCCTTCCTGAAATTCGTAATTCAAAATGAATTGTTTACCCATCAACATTCTGAGCTGCTACACTTGTTAGTACCATTAATCCTTTGAATTTTAAAAATTCTATAATAATTCGAACAATATATGATTTGCCAGTCATGCTGAACCTGTTACAAAAAAAAAAGTAATATCTTTCTTATTTTTAAAATCCCAGTCATTAATAAATCCATTGATCCACTTAATATAAATAATACCAAAAAAAAACTACCTTTTGATATTTCTTTAATTATTTCTTATTTCTATTTTTTACCTTTTCTTGACAAATGCCATTTACCTTTTGGTCTATCGGTAGTCCCACACAAGAAAAATAGGAAAAATGAAACCATTCAATTTCACATTCACTATTATCACATGCCACCATCTCCCATAACTAATCTGTTTACAATAACGTTACTGTACATCGTTTCATTAGGATCAATTGGCATATCAACACTTCGAGTATATTCAACATTATTATTATTCGGATTCGAATTATTATTGAATTATTGTTATTATTATTGTGGGAATTATTATTATTGTTATAATGATGATATTATTATTATTATTCGGCGTTCTTGATCTTTTTATTATTCTTTGCGGCATCTTTCTTTCGCGAAACTTTACCCGGTTTATCACCCACCTCCACTTCCTCCACTTTCACTTCTACGCATTTTACTTCCCGGTTGCCTAGATGATAAATTTAATGTTGATGGTGATGGCGTACCTACACTTGTTATATTATTATTATTATGATCTTTATAATTATTATCTTTACGCTTCTTACTTGGTGGTTCTACATTATTTCTTTTTTCATTTTTAATATCTTTCTTGTCCCCTCTTTCACTTTTAATAATTGTTTACAATTTGGTAGTTGATGTTGTAATTCTCGATTACTATTATTAGGTTCAGCGATGGCGATATTATTAGAATTTTTGATGGTGGTGGCATTGCCAACATTAGTTCGTGGCATTTATTCTACCAGGTCCAAATTTTTGAAGATCATCTAACCTTCAAATGTGACGGTCCACCGTGTCATGAGTTGAAGTGGCAAGGGAAACTTTCTCTTCGGCATATTTCGAAGTTGAAGATAATAAATCCCCAAGTTTTTAAGTTGTTCAACCCTTTATTCAGGTGTAAGGTCACCAACCGTATCTAAGAATTGCATGGAGAGCTCTCCAACTTTATCAAGTTCTTGTGCACTCGTATCCAGTTGTTGCTTTATTAAGTTGCATCTCAGCAGGTAAAGATTCGTAGTCATCTAGGTAAACCAGATTTTCCTCAAAACGATCGGTATTAAAATTTTGATTGGAACTTTGAACTGGCATGACTGGCATATTTTAATATTTATATATATGATATGATGATACTGTATATGGTGTTATTTTTTGATGATACATAGAAGAGAATTTTATGAAACAATAAATGATGATTTTACATGTGATTACGACTAACCAATATATAAAATAAATTTAGATTTTACAATAACAATTAATTTTACAACATTGTTATATCGCACCAGTGGTGTGATCATAAACCAATAAAAATAAAACATATGATTAAATAATAGACACATGATGTCCAGGTGATCGAAATTATTTCACGTGTGTCAAACCTTAGGTGACGAATATAAGCATGTAAAAAGATTCTCTGTTCCTAGGATATCTAATAAAAATTGATATTCGAAGGCGAAGGGCGGTGATAAATACATTACTCTTGAAAAACCTTAACCATAACCCCTGCGGTATAGAATAAGGTGTTCAACACCACTGGTGTGATATGAGGTTTTTATAAATATAATATTGACATTTGTTATATAGATTTTTTTTCTATTCATCATCAATAATAAAGTTAACATTTTGATTGTCATTATTATGATTAATGCCGGTAACTTTTTTCAGTAAAAATGATAAAAATTGATTGAAAAAAAAAATTAATAAATATAATAAGACATAGAAAATAATAACACAACGTAATGATGATAATAAATTACTTACTAATTTCTTTTACTCCTTTACCAAAATTTAAGAATACTAAAATTCCCCATACAAATGTGATCTATAAAAGGAGTACGAAGCGTGTTAGTTGAATAGAATATTATAAGAATATGCACATGAAATATAATTATTATAATGCACTTACAATAGCTAGTAAAACACCCACTGAAACTGGAATATGTAAATAAATAAATAAATAAATATTATTATTATTAATATTGATATAATAAAATAAAAATGTAATTATTTAAATAAATAAAAAAATAAAGAATAATAAAATAATAAAATAATAAAATAATAATAATAATAATTTAATAATAATAAATGAAAATACTTACGGAAAATAATTAAAAAATACCAACTATCACTCGATACGAATTTCGTGGAAGAATATAGAATAGCTATAAAATCTATAATAACCCCGAGCCAAGAAACGAAAAATATGATCATTCCAATTTTCCATTCTTTTCGTGACTATTGACAATTAAAAATTACATTATATATAATAATTAAATAAAAATTAATTAATTAATTATATAAATTAATTAATTAATAGAATTTTTTCCAGAACTCACCGAAACAAATCCAATAATTTCCGAAAATATAATTAATATGGTTATCACTTTATTATACTGGACTATTGCGTCCGGCACAAATGAATCGTCTTGATTTGAAATATCCGATGAATTAAGCATATATGTTACCCATGTTTCAATTGCAAATATCAAAAGAAAGAATATATCAATCTTTAGAAATAGTACAAATAATAAGTACGTTCTGTACATCTCTAATATACATATATAATTAATAGAAATAAAAGAGTTAATATAAATATATATTTATATATTAAGATATAATTATTAAGGTACAGTATAATTAAATGAAAGACTTACTCTGCATTATAATGTCACCCCTAATCGTTCTATAAATATTCCACCCAAATTCTCGATATAAATGATAACAAAGGAATACCATGAGAGTAGCAAAAAGCATATAAGCAATAATAAACGGTATATCATAAACTATTAAATTTAAAGAAGTTAAGGTACACGCATGCATCAGCCTTCGACGCCAAATCGATATTTCAATTAATTGAATCTTTTTTTTTAAAAAAAAATTAATTGATTGATTAAATAATTAATTCGTAATTAATTCGTTGATTGAATAATTAATTCGTTGATTAAAATAATAAATGAACAAATAAAATATTTGAAAATATCGAAATACAAATATAATACTTACAATGCTTAATATGGAACAAATAAAATTTATTATTGTTATGGTTATCAGTTGAATTGTATTTTCTCTGTAAAGCTAATTATTTCAATAATAATAATAATAATAATATTTATTAATTTATCAATTTATATAATAATAATAATAACAACAACAATAATAATAACAATAATTTATCAATTTATAATAATAATAATAATAATTTAACTCACCGCATCAAGATTCAACCAAATTTGAAACAATTGAAAAAATATAAAAATAACATTTTCCGATTCGATTCTTTCAATTCTTTCAGTTAATGAATCGACCAAACTAGCATTACATTCAGCACGTTCCATTTCAGGAAAATGGTATGTTATTGATGAGTTTAAACTGATTAATTCGGCTGTTGAATTGGATGCTTTGTGTGATAGATCTTGTCGTAAATATTCATTTCGAACGAGTAATCGGGTTTCAAGAATTACTGTTATTATCGCTTGAACTATTGATACTAAAATAAAGATCTTAGACCATTTTGAAGTCTGTATGAATCTTTCCCACTGATATATTAATCCGTTTGATTACAGTATGTGTTGATTATATATTGATTATTGTTGATCATATTTGATTATATTAAATTATTTTTTTATAAGATATGAGAAAATTATGGGGAAAGAAAAAAAAAATGAGTCAATAAAAATGAAAATGAAAATTCAAACTAACTAATTTCGAATAGATGAAATAATAAAATAATAAAATTTTAATTCACCATAGATCCACAACACATCTTTTATTTTTATTCTTATTAATATTAAATACTAATTATTCTATCAATTAATACTATCAATTACTATTATTATTTTTAATTATTATTATTATTATTAATTATTATTATTATTAATTATTATTATTATTAATTATTATTATTATTAATTATTATTATTATAAATTATTATACTTTTTCTTATTATTAAAATAACCGAAACTTTTTTTGAAACTTTTTATTCAACTTTGGTTTAACCTTATCAGTTTAGTTATCATTACTTATATTTTTGTTCGCTGTAATTTTATTTATTTTACAAAAACAGTCCGAATAGTCGATTCTGTCGTTAATATCAAAGAAAAAAAAAAACCTGAATTGATAAAAAAAAATGGATAAAAAATAAATAAATTGAATAAGAAATTAAAAATGATCAATAATAATAATTAAAAAAAGAAAAGATTAAAAATTAAAATAAATCTTTCTTCTAATTTATATGAAATTCCAAGTATTTTATTTAAATATGGGACCTCCACAGCAAAAAGAGATTCTCGGCTCGAAAAAAATTTGAGCCGAGAACCTCTTGAGGCCCGTATATAATTTTATTTATGTATACATTAAAAGCTTTTTTTGTCATTATATTATTGAATCGAATATTATAAATAACAATTATCAATGAACCTAAAACTTTTTTGTGTAATCAATCTTGCATACATAATGCACAAATAAAACAGACAGAAGCAAGCCAATCCAAATCGGGATAATTGCATAACGTAGAATAACGAAAATAACATTTAACGTATAAATATTATAAATAATAAATAACTTTTTTTGATGATGAAATCTTACATCAAATAAACAAATATAAATATACAAAAAAAGAAAACATACTAAATCTGAAATTTCAATGAATTTCTTTTTTCTATAATTCTCTTTTTATTAATTTAACTGTTAAATTCACCCATTTCCATTTCCTTATTCTTATTATTGCGATCAATTCTAATTTTATATTATTGTAATAATTATTATTATTGTAACCAATTCTAATATTGTTATTAAAATTGTAATCAATTCAATTCTAATATTATTATTGTAATTACTATTATTATTATTATTATTATTATTACCACCGTTTCTTCTGATAAGATAATAATGTCATCATCTTCACCTTCTCCCATAAAATCTTTTAAATCATCATCATCAATTTTCGAATTTCGTCATAACTCAGATAATCAACAAGATTGGGAAATTGGAAAAGGTGTATAATGAGTGGTGGAAATTTTATCGAATAGGAGAACGAGATATTCAATTGAATCAAAATTTATGGTAAAATTTTTAGGAAAGAATGTTGTAAGGCGAGTTGACTATTATTATTATTATTGTTTAATAAAAAATTTTTGTGAATTTTTTTTTTGTAATTTTAATTATTTAATATAATAAATAAATATATAAATAAATAAATAATGAATTATTTGATAAACTATTAATAATAAATAAAATAAAATAAAATATAAATAAAATAAAATAAAATATAGAATGAAATAAAAATATAAAATGAAATAAAAAATAAAATAAAACATAAAATAATAAAATATAAAATAAAATAAAATAAAAATAAAAAATTTAATATTATATACATAATATTGATCAGGAGGTAAAAACTAGTGCTTCGTTATTTGAAAAAAATGAAATTAATAACGAGTCAATTTGGTTTAATTATTAATATTAAATTGATTTGTTTGCATTTGTGAAGAATTAGATATGGCATTGGTATTTTAAAACATTTGTATATTTAACTGGAAACTTACTTTAAAAGTGAACTCTATAAGTATTAAAATTACCTCTTAGATTATGTTCATTTTGAACTGGAAGTTTAATTAATAACTGCTTGTAGAAGAAATCTTCAGCATTTTTAACTGTTAAATATTGAAAATGAAAAAATATTTCTTTTTTTCTTATTACAATTTTATCTTGCTAAAAATCCCTTCGAACAGCCTGTTTGAATTATCTATGATACATTAGATATGTCAAATTATCGAATATTGGTTCAATAGGTCTTTCGAAATATTTGTCAATAGCATGGATCCATAATTTGCTCATTAATTAATTGATAAACAAGGTGTATTGCCTTATTTCGATGAGTAGGAGAAAATGAAGTAAATAATTTCAACTATAAAAGTGCTACGACAAACGAATTTTCCAGTAATTTGCTGGCCAAAGTATCCCTTAGGACAAAGTATTGTACCTCTGTAAAAATGTACCCGGTATGTCTACCAGGTTTGTGTTATAGTGGATATCTAATTTAATATTATAATAATCATCACCGTTATTATTATCAATATCGTTATCATATTATTACTATTATTATCACTATTATTATTTTCACCATCTTTATCTCCATTATTATCATCGATTTCATTAATTATTTCATTATTTTCACTATCAGCATTAATACATTTCTATATAATCATCCAAATATAAAAAATTTCTACCACTTTTACTTTTTCCATTCATCCAATCATAATCAAAAAATATTTATTTATCTTCTGAGAGTTTGTCATTACCAATTTCGTGGGATGTCTAAAGCGGAGTTAAATCACATGACTTATTTATCATTTGCTATTAATCATATGATTTGAATCTGCTTTAACGATCCCCAATTTCGCTTTGATTTGATTAACAAATACATCAGAACAGTCACCTGGTGCCCCGAAAGTTTTTAAGAAATTGGAAATTTTTTGCTTCAACAATAAAAGATAATGAACGGGTTAATCCATTATTTAAATCATTAGCATTAATTTGTAATAATATTTTAAATATGGATTTGAAAATTAAATCGCATTCATATTATCGATTGCAATTATTAGAGAAACTTATTAGTACTCAAAAACGGTTAGAAAATCTATCAATTATTGATAATAGTTTTCTAGGTCATGATGATTCTAATTCAATATTATGGGCTATCATTAGTCAGAAATAAACATTAAAGAGATTTCGTTTAAAATTAGTAAATTTTTGTCAATTCGAGGGGAAATCATCGCCAATTGGACAATTTATTTCACTTCAAGAACTTTATATTGAAGATTTTTATGGATTGTCGAAATCGGATAGCATATTCTTTGCCTCATCATTCACTCAATTAAATATTTTTCATTATTTTTATTCGAGTTATCAATCTGGTAGACATCCTCAATATCCCCAAGAATTTATTATAAAAATTCTCCAAACAGCCAATACAAATTTAAAAAATGTTTGTCTAGATTTATACTTCACAATTTCATTTAATCTATTTTCAGCAATTTTATATTATTGTACAAAGATTACCGAATTAACTTTAATTCATTAAAATTATTATTATTGACTTAAATTATGCAAAGAGATTTTCATTTTGTTGTGGAAAAAGGATTGGAAGCTAATAAATTATTATATCAAATGGCAGAAAATGTACCAGAATCACTTGAAACTATTGAAATTAAAATTAGGAAATTTAGTTCTGATAGTTTAAGAAAATTTTTTGACGGGTGGTGTTGTAAAGGAGGTAAAAAGATTATTGTAAAAAATTAAGTGATGAACATATCAAAGTTATTGAAGAATACGGAGTTCAATTTGATATCGAAGAATAATAATGTTTTAAATGTAATGCCAAATAAGAAAATATATTAGTAATAATATTTACATTGTAGTTAGTATTTTTTAATATTTTATATATTCAATGTAACAAAATAATAAAAGAATGTCGTTAAAATTAAAATCAGCTTAAATTAATTAATTAAATTAATTAACGTAAAAGTAAATTAAAAATAATTAATTAAAAAAATAATATTTACGTTTTACTTTAACTTTAAAAGATTTGGATAAAAATGTAACAACTATGGTGATATTAAAGTACATCATCACCACTCCAATACACCCATTCCAATTAATAATTATCATGGAATAATATCTGTTGATAAATACAAAGGGTTGACCTGCAACTAGATGATATGAGTTTTGTTTTTAATAAATCGATTCTCAGTATCCCACCAAATCTGCAGTTGCACTGTTTTGTTATTTGTTGAAGTACCGTTTGTAAATAGATATATATATTTTTTTTACTGCAAAATAAATGACAAATAGAAAGAAAAAAAGTATTTAATCGCAGTATAAAGTTTTTTTTTTTTTTTTAGTTTTATTGAAATCTAATTCTTCTTTGCACTCGGAAATATACATTAAAATCATTAAAATGATAAATATCAATGTTTTTTAAGTTTTGAATTTACAAATTAAGATATACTGTAGCACATATAACCATTTTAACTTTCCAGAAGTTTTTTTTATACCTCGAGTTTTTTTGTCAATACCACAAATATTCTGAAGTAAAAGTTGGCGTCACTATACTTGATTTTTAATAATTCCTTACCTTTAAATCTACGGAATAAGAGATTAGTTTAATTTTAAAAGTTTTTTATTGGTAATGATTTGCTTTGTGGTTTTAAGGCTTATTACTGATATTTTACTTATTTTCTCTTCATTAGTTATACTTTGAACTTTTTTATTTGAGGCTTTATATTTTTACTGAGAATTCATATTGTTGAAGTTACTATTGAGTGTTTAATGATAAAGAAAAAAAAAGTTCTTTTAATATTTTTTAATAAAACTAATTCCAACAATAATAATGTTACTTAAAGGACAAAGAAAAGAAAATGAAGAGAATTATTTTTTTACTAATTGTTTTTTTATTTTATTTTTAATTTTTATTTATTAATTTTTTATAAGCGTAAATTACTTAATATTACGGAATAAATACGGAGCCGTTTTGACTTTAGACGCAGATATCGGTGCTAAAAGGATAAACACATGTCATCTTGTAGCCCAGGATCAGGGATTCATTCGGTCATAAGAATACCTTTCCGTAATTTTTTCGGAATTTTTACGCTGATAAAATTCCGTTTTTTTTTGACTTCAATCGCGATTTGTAGGACATGGAGGGATTTTTGATTAAGATATTCCGATGACCGAACGATCCGGGCTACAAAATGATACGTGTTTATCTTTTTAGTACCGATATCTGCGTTTAAAGTCAAAACGGTCCGCATTTATTCCGTAATATTAAGTAGGTTTCGTAATAATATAAAAATTTACGGCTAAAAAAATTTCCTGATGAAAGAACCTTACCACAAATTTTTAAATATATTCCTTAAGTTGTGCGTACACAAAATGGTAAAATTTCGATAAATATTTAAAATTATTTAATAGATGAACGATTGTTTAAATAATAAAAAATAAATAGCACATAAAATAAAAATAATTCGATAATAAAAAAAGAACAAATTTATTGTTTGAAGATGAAATAAATAGAAAAATGAACACTTATTGTATTTATATAACGCAAAATGTAATTAGGAATAAAGTACAGTAATTTATCAAAAGTCATGGGACAGTTGAAAATTACTAAAAAAAATTACTAAATTTAAAATGCTAATTGTGATACAACGAGTAATTTAAATTGTATAAACTTTTTTTATTAGATTCCCTAATACTAGGGCAATCATAAGAAATATTTTTGTTAAAATTGAATGCCTACAAGTGGAGAAATTACACTTCAAATAAGCTTGTCAAAAAATAACAAATTTGATCTTTGAACGCTACCCATACCGGATTTGATAGATATTAAAGATAGATTCTAACTATCTTATATGGAATTGTAGCCAGAAATGATGTCTACAACTTTAATTATTAGCAGTTTTTATAGTATCTAGTTAAAATTTTGACTTTAATTTGACGTGTATAAATTTATTTATTTATTTATTTATTTTAGCAGACCAGCACAATCTCACACAGTTTCCTTTAAGTATTACAAAGAATACAATAAAATTGCATTAGCTAATCTAATGATACGACTTAACCTACCACTGTGTAAAATTAGATTTTACAATTAGTAAGTTTCAACCACTACGGCCTCACTAATATCTATTCTTAATAAATTGAAAATAAATTTGTAAATTGAGGTATCTATCTGTAATGTGTAATCTATTGCTATATTTAGGATGTGATCCTTGGATCTTTCTATTTGTTTTTTTTTTGTTTTTTATATTTTTCATCATTTTTTTCCTTATTTTTTGTTTTTATATTTGGGAATTCCTCAAGTTTCTTTTTTATTTCTTTTTGCTTATTTGTCTCTTGAGTTTGGTTGTTTCTCTCTAACCATAATTCATAAAGTTTTTTCATTGTGTATCGATATATTTTGAGAATTTTTTCTTTAGCTGTTTTCCTATATTGCTGCTATTTCGTCAATTAGTTGTTTTGGTATAAGTCTTCTTATTATGTTGCTTAGGCTGAATTTTGAATCTTTTGTCATTTTTCATGTATTTAGTCTATTTGGATCAAAAGAATATAATTTGTTTTTTATTATTTTTTCCCTTATGAAATTTCTAATTTTATCATGGTTGACATTAAGTTTCTTAAGGTGGTTTTTAATTGTGTTAATTTATATTTGTTTAAAATTTTCTTTATTAGCTTGACATGTGAAGACATGGAGTGTTGATTCTATTTGTGTTTTACATCTTGGACAGTTGGGGCTTTGATATATTTCTTCTTTGAGCTTATTTAATCTCGAGTATATTGGTAATTCATCACATATTTTTTTTATTCTGAATGTTCTTAGACTTTGATCTGTTTCTTTCGTTACATTCCAATCTACTATTTTTTCTATATTTCTATTGAAAGACTGGATAAATCTAAGTTGTGTTTTACAGTTGATTAGGTTTTGAATGTTAGTGATGTCTTTGGTTAATTCTTGTATTGGGTTATCTAAGAATTTGTTTCCATTTTTTAGTTAATAGTTTTTTACAAATTTATGTTTATAGTTAAAATCTACTATCATTTTACTTGTTGTTCCTTTTTGAGCTAGTTTATTTTCTTTATTGTTTAGAAGTATTCCTGTGTGAGCTTTTATTTTAGTTAGTTTTAAGTTAATGTTTTTCTCTATTATTGTATTTTTAATTATTAGTAACAGGTTTGAGTTTTTATAGATTTTTCAGCATTTTCTTTGTTTGGGGTGGACAAAGTTAGTTATTGAGTCTATTGAGCTTTTTGAATCTGTGAAGATTTCTATATTTGAGTTGTTTGGAATTATTACTATAGTTAATGCTATTGCTATTAGTTCTGCCCTTGTTGATGATAGTGGACCTGTTGTTTTTCCATTTAATTCTTTGATTATTTCATTTGTAGCTTGGTTTATTAGGACTATTCCATATTCCATCTGTATTTGTTATTTTGTTAGAGTTTTGCTGTTATAGGTTTTTTTCATTGATCTATTGGTGTATTGCTATATAATTTTTTATGTTATGTTTATTAAAGTTATTGTATATGTGTAATAGTTCTTGTTTTTTTTGTTCTACCAACGCAAATGGAAAGTTGAAGTTTTTTTGTTACTCTATTTTTTTTCTCTTATTTGTTGGTAGTTGGTTTTGTTTTTCATTTTTTTATATATTGCTTCGTCAATTGAATTGGAAGAGTAAAAAAGGTATCTTTCTTTTGATGATTTTTCTTTTGATTTAATTTTGTATGTGTCTTTTTTTGATAGTTCAAAAATGCATTTTATATTTTTATAATTTTTTATTTTGATTTTTTTTCCTTTTTTAATTTTTTTAAAGTTTTTTCTTGTTCTTCTGTTTTGTGGATTTCATTTAAGTGACATCTATTGCATGGATTTATTGTATGGTAATTTGGTATGTTTCCTTGGTTTGTGTATGTATAATGTTCTATTAATATGTTGTCATTTTCATTGTCAAGTGTTTTGAGTATTCTTCTAATTGTTAGTTCTTGTGGATATTGGGGATCGATGTATTTTGTTACTATTAATTTGTTTTATTTCCATTGGTTGTTTATATTTTCTTTGAGAAGTTGAAACTGATTATTTAGTAAACATTTATTGTCAATATTTATTTTATTATTATTAATTTTTTCTTTTATTATTTTGTACCAGTTCAGTATTTCACCTCTTTTGGAGTATTCTGTTATTTGGCTCCAGCTTCTTAACTTGATATAACTTGGATTATTCTTTATTAGTTGTTCTATAAAAATTATGTTGTCATTTTTTAGCTGACTTCTCATTTTATCATATTCTTTAGGTTTGTTTATTATTTCTTCTATTGTAATTTGCCCTCCTTGTAGTATTACTTGAATGTTCTCAGGTTTTTTGTTATTTTTAATTTTAGGGTTTTCATTCCTTCTATTATTTTTGTTATTCTGTTTTTTTTCTTTTTTTTAAAGAATTGAAAATTGTAATTCCATATTGGAGTTATTAACCAAATTTCATTTTGAAGTGTTTGTGTTTTAATTCTGGTTGCGATTTCATATATTTGATTACTTTCAAGTCATTCTTTGAATTCTATTATTGCTTGTCTATAAATTTTACTTTTTAAATTGAATAGTTTGTATCATATTCCTGAATATATTACTGAGTTTGGAATGTCTTTGGATAGATTTATTTTATGTTTGAATGTAGATCATAATTTGGCTTCTTGTTTTTGTAATCATTTTTCTTCTGGTATTAGATTTTGGACTAAATATAGTATTTGCGGATTTAAGACTTGGTTGTAAATGTATCTAATTTATTTGTCAGTTACTTTTGCTCTTCTAATTACTGCTGTTGTATGATTTATTCTCTGTTTCATCTTTTTTAGCTGTGTAAGTTGATTACCATTGTATTCTATCCATATACCTAGGTATCTAGTTGGTGGTTAATCTTTTATGCACTTGAGTATTTTACCACCAAATTTAATTTCATTTATTATATTTGTATTTTTTATACTTTTAACTTTGTCATTTATTATTATTAATTCTGATTTACTTGGTCCAATAGGTTTTCATCATTGTTTGAGTTAATTGATTCTGGATCTGATGAATTTTTTTCGTCTATATTGTCTCTTGCTTTTCCTTTTCCTTTTTTGTTTTTTCTTTGGTTTTCATTTTCTTGGTTTTATCTGTTATTTTTGCTACTTCCAACTATCACTTCTACTTGTTTTTGTTTGTTTTCTTGTTTTTCTTCTTGGTCTTGATTTTCTTCTATAATCTCTTATCTTGGATCTCAATAATTTCTATTTCTTGAATTTTTTCTGTAATTTCTTGATTTTTCTTTGATTTTTCTTTATTATTTGTGTTCTGACTAATAGTCTTTTTGGTTTTATTACATTTTTAGGTATCTGGAGACATTTTTATTAAAGTTGTTTATGGGTTTTTATATTTATTCTTTTATCTGAAAATTATGGTTTTAATGATCAACAGAAAGAGTTACTTGTAACGGATTCAATTTGACATGTACAAAAATGGCCAAAATTTATTAAAATTAAAGGTTAAAATAAAAAAAAATGATTTTAATTATCAACAGCAGTCACAAGAAAAAATTTTTTATTTAATAATATAACAATAAAAATGATTCTAATTAAACTTAATCTCAAGAATCTAGTGCATTCATTTAAAAAGTTTTAGACTTAAATATTAAAAATTAAGGGAATAATTGACGATTAAATTTTAGGAAATAATTTTCAAATGCTCAAATTCAATCGTTAGTATTAATTTCAATTCTCAAGTAAAAAATCTAAAATTTTAACTTTTATTAATACTACTTTTGTTAATATATTAGTAAATTAAAACGTTTTATATGTGATTACAATTGGTAATCATTTTCAGAAATTTTCAAAAATAAAAAATGATCAACACAAATTTTACTAAATTTTTAAAACTGGAAAAATAATTATTAAAAGTAGTCATAATTAAATCTTTTTTATTTACTAATATATTAGCAAAAACAAAATTAATTAAACTTATAGCCATGTCTATGGCGCATCTATAGTAAAAAATTTAGATTTTTTACTTGAGAATTGAAATTAATACTAACAATTGAATTTGAACATTTAAAAATTATTCCTTAAAATTCAATCGTCAATTACTCCCTTAATTTTTAATACATAATACTAAAACATTTTAAATAGATGCAATAGATTCTTAAGTTTAGGTTTAATTAATACTATATTTATTATTATATTATTAAATAAAAAATTTTAACATGTAACACATTTGATAATTTTTTTAGTTTTTTTTTTATTCTAATCAATTATTCAGTATATAACATTGCACAAAATATGCAATTAAAAATAGAATTAAAACATTGTGCAGAATATCACAATGCATTGTAAAAAGTAATATTATAATATATTTTACAATGTAAATCATTATCAAATTAGATTGTATTGTTTATAATTTGCTATAATTATTTTAAAATAGAATTCTGTTATTTTTTTAATAACTTATTAACTATCAACCTTTAATTCAAATTAATTAGTAAATTATATCTCATAATTTTTATTTTTCTAAAAAAGAATTTTATAAAAAATGACTACTCAATGTAAAGAACTTTCTGAATTTCAACATGGTGAAATAATTGGTGCTTGGAAATGTATTTTGTCTGTAAGAATAATAGAAGAAATAATAAAATATCCAAAAAGTGCAATGCAAAATGTTATTTCAGTTTACAAAGATGATGGGTTAGAAAAAAGGCCTTCTCAAAGTGGTTGACAAATAATTATATCAGAAAGAGATAATCATCATTTAATAAGAATTTTAAATAAAAATTGTAGAACCAATGTTAATGAACTATGTGAAGATTTTATCACTTCTACTTCAACAAATGTAAGCTCAATTACTTTGAGAAGACACCTTCACAAAAATAATATTTATGGAAGAGTTGGTGCAAAAAGACCTTTTGTTAATGCAGCCAATAAAATAAAAAGATTAAATTGGGCTAAAATAAGAAAAAATTGGGTAAATCAGTGGGAAAATATTATTTTAAGTGATGAATCAAGATTTGAAGTATCTGGAGAAGATGGAAAGAGATATTTTTGGGGAAATCCTCAAGAAAAATATGATTCAAAATGTCTTATTCCAACTTTTACATCAGGACAAGAAAGTATAATGGTTTGGGGTTGCTTTATAAAAAATAAACTTGGGCCATTAGTTAGATTAGAAGGTAAATAACAGCAAAAATATATATAGATATGCTAAAAAACAATTTAATACCATTTATCAATAGTTTAGAAAATAAGAAGAATTATAGTTTTCAAGAAGATAATGTTGCAATTCATACTGCAAAAATTGCAAAAAAATGGAAGGAAGATAATAATATTACAAGCCTTCCATGGTCTGCACAGAGTCCAGATTTAAATCCTATAGAAAATTTATGGAATGAATTAGATAAAAAAGTCAGGTCATATAAACCATTACCTAAAAATAAGGAAGAATTAGAAAGAATGGGTTAAACTTGAAAAAGATATGTATAAAAATCTTGTTGATAGTATGCCACGTCATATTGCTGCTGTTATTGAAAATAAAGGCTACCCCACAAAATATTAATAATAAATTATAAAATAATAGTTTTTATAATTAAAAAAATTATCAAATGTGTTACACCTTAAAGTTTTTTATTTAATAATATATTAATAAATATTGTACTAATTAAACCAAATTTAAGATGCTAGTACACCTACTACAAAAGTATTAGATTTATACATAAAAGATTAAGTCAATAATTAATGATTAAATTTTAGAGAATAATTTTTAAATGTTCAAATTCAATCGTTAGTATTAATTTTAATTCTCAAGTAAAAATTCTAAATTTTTTACTATAGATGCACTATAGGCTTGATTATAAGTTTAATTAATATCGTTTTTGCTAATATATTAGTAAATAAAAAGTTTTAATTATGACTGCGTTTAATAATTATTTTTCCGGTTTTTAAAAAATTTAGTAAAATTTGTGTTGATCATTTTTTATTTTTGAAAATTTCCGAAAATGATTACCAATCGTAATCACATATAAAACGTTTTTATTTATTAATATTTTGACAAAAGTAGTAATAATAAAAGTTATAGCTAATAATATGGTGCATCTATGGTAAAAGTTTTAAATTTTTTTACTTGAAAATTGAAATTAATACTAACGATTGAATTTGAACATTTAAAAATTGTTCCCTAAAATTTAATCGTCAATTATTCCCTTAATTATTAATATATAAGTCTAAAACTTTTTAAATAAATGCAATAGATTCTTGAGATTAAGTTTAATTAGAATCGTTTTTATTGTTATATTATTAAATAAAAACTTTTTTCTTGTGACTGCTGTTAATAATTAAAATCGGATTTTTTTTATTTTAACCTTTAGTTTTAATAAATTTCGGCCATCTTTATTCACGTCAAATTAAAGTCAAAATTTTAACTAGATACTATGAAAAATGCTAATAATTAATGTTGTGGACATCATTCTGGCTACAATTCCACATAAGACAGTTAGCATTAATCTTTAATATCTATCAAGTCCGGTATGGGTAACTTTCATAGATCAAATTTGTTATTTTTTGACAAAATTTTATTTGAAGTGTAAATTCTCCACTTGTAGGCATTCAATTTTAACAAAAATATTTCTTATGATAACCCTAGTATTAGGGAATCTAATAAAAAAAGTTTATACAATTTAAATTACTCGTTGTATCACAATTAGCATTTTAAATTTAGTAATTTTTTTTAGTAATTTTCAACTGTCCCATGACTTTTGATAACCCACTGTATATACGATATGCGTTAGGTTATTAATAATAAATCATATTCAATGTGATCACAGCAATGAATTATTTTTTATAAAAGGAAACTATTTACAAAAAATAAAACTCCACGCACAAACCATACAAAGCATATAATGGCGAGTTCCCGTGCCATTGAGCATAGTAATAGCCAATAGAAACAACTCATTGTGCTACAACACTGTCTGATTATAAATTGTGCAGCTACGTACATGTATATTTTATAAATGTAATGTAATACGATTTTTTTTTAAAGAATTTTCACTTTTATTTCTTAGGAAAAAAAAAATGGCAACTAAAATTTCCACAGAATTATTGATTATGATTTTAAATAATGTTCAATCAATTCAAGATTTACATTCATCCTTATTAGTTAATCGAATCTGGTGTAAAGTTACTATACCTATACTTTGGGAATTACCTTTGGGTCAAGAATGTTGCACAGATAATAAGAAGTTGAGGAAGAAAGCATTATGTATTCGAACTTATATATCATGTATGGATGCTCAAGCTAGAACTTTACTTATTCAAAATGGATTTTATTTATCATTATCACCACCTCGGGTCACTTTTGATTATCCATCATTCACTCATAAACTTAGAACTGATAATTTAGTTTATTTTATTTCCATATATTCACCACAAATTAGTCCACTACAAATTACTGGTCCAGGTCGCTATAATAATAATAATGAAATCTCTATCACCAAATCGAGAATATTATTTCATGAGATATGTAAATTAATAATTAATCGTTGTTCATTTCTGGAATATTTTAAATTGGCTAAAGTTCCAGGAGAATTTAGAAATAGTGATTTAATTGGTTCAATTCTCAAGTTACCTAGTGCCCCAGAAGTATTTAGGAAATTAGAAAGTCTTACTTTGAAAATAAGAGATGAACTAATTTATTCATTATATAAATCGTTAAAATTAATTTGTGAGAATATTTTAAATATGGATTTGGAATTTAATTCACATGATCAATTATTACCAGAATTTATCAGTGTCCAAAAACGGTTAGAAAATCTATCAATTACTTCTAGCTATTTTCTAAATTGTAATTCATTATTATGGGCTATCATTAGTCAAAGAGAAACATTAAAGATTCTTCGTTTAAAATTTTTAAATTTTTGTCATTTCTGGGGGAAATTATCACCAATCGGAGAATTTATTTCACTTCAAGAACTTTATATTGATGATTGTTGTGAATTTAATTTAGATTGTCAATTATTGGCCTCATCATTTACTCGATTAAATAGATTTCATTTTAGAAATAAATATGGTACGCCTCAAGAATTCATTATAAAAATTCTTGAAACGGCCAATATTAATTTAAAAAATATTTATTTAGATTTATATCCCACAATTACATCTGATACATTTTCAGCAATTTTAAATTATTGTACAAAGGTTACCAAATTAACTTTATATAATTTAAGTTTTGAACAAGTAATAGCAATATTTAATAATAATTTTAATGAATTAAGGGTATTTTCATTTGATTGTATCGAAGAAGGATTTGATGCTAATAAATTATTATGCCAAATGGATGAAAAAATACTTGAAATATTGAAAATGGAACGGGGATATTTAGTGTTGATAGTTTAAGAAGATTTTTTAAAAAGTGGTGTTGTGGTAAAGCGGAGGAAGTAAAAAAATTATTGAGAAACGTACAGAGAAAGCGTAACTATTTTTATTGAATTATTTATTATTTTGTTATGTAAATATATGAATTTTGAAAATATTAAAATAAAATTATGAAACTTTTAGATAATAATTTATCAACGAAAAAATTTTATTGAGTAATATTGTTAGATAAGCTTTGCCATAGTTTATATGATCTTATTATTTTTTATTAAAATATAATATTGATTTTTTCGGAAAAATTAAAATCAAATTAATAATTAATAGTTTTTAATTTACTTTAAATATTTATACTGTATTTAGGAGACAACTGTGAAGTGTTTCGTGTTTTATAGTTTGTTATAGTTTGTTGCTTCGTTATTTGCTCTCGTTGTTTAATTTTGATTCAACAAAATTTAATCAAATAAACAAGAATTTTGTTAATTTTTTAGTAGCAATGCATATAGACAAGTTGGAAATACTAAAATATTCATATGAATTTATTTAATTACATAGAACAAGAAATAATAAAAAATTAGGAAGGTAAATAAATAAAAAAGTAAAAAATAATTCAAAATTGAAAATTATAATCGATTACTTGATTAATTATTCTTCATTTTTGGTTATTGTTTTATCAATCAGATCAATTCAACAAACATATCTTTTTTTTTGATTATTTTTATTATTTTTATTTTTTTATGTTTGACCACCGCGCAATTTCAACTGGTACAAAACAAAGTTTCAACTTTAATTCTGAATAATGTATCTTATACACTGTTTCTGTTAAAGCCCCGAAAAGAGGTTACACAGTTATTATCTCAAAGAACGTAATTGTTACAAAATCACGTTACAAAATTTAAATAAACCAATAGGACCAATAAAAGTCTTTTAAAGGCGGCACAAGCGATTTACCAATAGTAGATATTCACAAAAAGATACAACCAAGCAACACAAACCTCTATATATGCTAATTAAAATTTCCACCGAAATATTAATTAAAATTTTAAATAATCTTCAATCACCTTTTTCAACTCAAGATTTATATTCATCATTATTAGTTATTTAAATCTGGTGTAAGTTACTATACCTATACTTTGGGAATTACCTTTGGGTCAAGAACGTAGTCTGTGGATAATTTGGAAGAAAGCATTGTGTATTCGAACTTATATATCATGTATGGATACTCAAGCAAGAACTTTACTTACTTGAAATGGATTTGATTTATCATCATCACCACCTCAAGTCACTTTTGATTATCAATCATTCACTAATAAATTTATTTTATTTCCATATATATAAAACAAATTATTGGTTCGAATCAAGATTACAACGATTTTAACGAAATCACCATCGCCAAATCGAAAATATTATTTCGTGAGATATGTAAATTAATAATTAATCGTTGTTCTTCTCTGGATTATCTTAAATTGTCGAAAGTTCCCTTTATTTATAATGATTTAATTTGTTTGATGTACAAGTTACTTAGTGCCCCTAATGTATTTATGAAATTAGAAAGCTTTACTTCGATAATAGAGGATCATGAATCGATTTTTCCATTATATGAATCATTAATATTAATTTGTAAAAATGTTTTAAACCAAAGCTTATCAGACAACATTAATTAATAAATTTTTTTAAAATTAGTATCTAAAATTGCATTCTTTAATACACAATATTCTTAACTATACATCAGATTCGATTAATTAATAATGCTGATTATAATTAATATTTCTGTGCGAATTTTATTTTCCATTTTTTTATATCGAAGAAAATATAAATTTAAGAAATACAGTCGAACCTGTATATTGCATACTAAAATTTTTTCATGGAAATAGTCACTTGTATTGATATATATAAATTTATCAACGTATGCTCTTAGATAGATTCTACTGTAATTGTATGATTAAACGTGTAACTATTCCAAAATAATAAAATAGTAATCAAAAAATACTATAACTGAAATAGATAAATATTTATTAGCTGAGAATAATTATTTGAAAAATTTATCTGGAATTCGGGTTATTCTTTAATATCAAATTGAATTCCATATTCTTCGATAATTTTAAAATGTTCGCTACTTATTGCTATCATATTTAATGGTGAAAATGATGAATTATTCGATTTTAATGAACGTTTTATACGTAATCTTCTAGGCTTTTTATTTCCTCCTTCTCCTTTACAACACCACTCTTCAAAAAATTTTCTTAAACTATCAGTACTAAATATCCATGGATTATCATAATCCATTTTAATTATAATAGTTTCAAGTGAGTTTGGAACATTCTCGGCCATCTGACATAATAATTTATCAGCATTGATTCCTTCCTCACAATAACAATCAAACGAAAATCTTCTTAATTCATTAAAATTATTGTTAAATACTGCTATCACATGTTCAGGTCGCAGATTATGTAAAGTTAATTTGATAATATTTGTGCAATAATTTAAAATTGCTAAAAATGTGTCTGTGGTATATGAATTTAAATATATTTTTCTTAATTTTGTATTGGTTCTTTTGAAAATTCTTATAATAAATTCTTGAGGATACCTATAATATTTATGTCTAAAATAAAAACTACTTAATTGAGGAAATGATGAAGCAAAGAATAAACTATCCGATTCATGTAATCCAAAGCAATCTTCGATATAAAGTTCTCGAAGTGAAATAAATTGTCCAATTGGTGATGATTTCCCCCTTAAATGATAAAAATTTACTTTTTTTAAACGAAGTTTCTTTAATGTTTCTTTTTTACTAATGAAATTTAATAATGAAAGACATTCTGTGCGAGTGTTTACAACAATTGATAGATTTTCTAAACATTTTTGAACACTAATAAGTTTTTCTAATAATTGAATTTGAGAATTTGAGTTCAATTTGAAATCTATATTTAAAATATTATCACAAGTTAATAATAATGATTCATATAATGGACAAATTAGTTCATAATCTCCTATCATCGAAGTAAAACTTTCTAATTTAATAAATACTTTCGGGGCATCAGATAACTTGAGAATTGAACCAATTAAATCACTATAATTATGAAAATTTTCATAAGAATCTCCAGCCAATTTAAAGCAATCCAAAAATGAACAACGATTTATTATTAATTTGCATATTTCGTGAAATAATATTCTTGATTTCGTGATGATTATTTCGTTATCATTATTGTTGTTATTATCTTGATCCGGACCAATAATTTGTTGTGAACTAATTTGTGGTGAATATATGGAAATAAAATAAACTAAATTATCAATTTTCAATTTATGAGCGAATGATGGATAATCAAAAATGGATTGAGGTGGTGATGATGATAAATCAAATCCATTTTGAGAAAGTAAAGTTCTAGCTTGAGTATCCAAACATGATATATAAGTTCGAATACATAATGCTTTCTTCTTATCATTTATACAACATTCTTGACCCAAAGGTAAAACCCAAAGTATAGGTATAGTAACTTTACACCAGATTCGATTAACTAATAATGATGAATATAAATCTTGAGTTGATTGAACATTGTTTAAAATCAGAATCAATAATTCTGTAGAAATTTTAGATGCCATTTTTTTTTTGCCCAAGGAAAAAATAATTTTATTTATTTATGATTCAGTATGTTGTGTAACTGTTCTATTGGTTGCCAAATTAATAATCAAAATTACACAACATACAGTAATCAATATATTAATAATAATAGCACATTAAATAAATTAAAAAACAAAAAAAAAAATGATCGAACAGGAAGTAACACCACTAATAATAAAAGGAAACTATTATTGCACGATCCTTAAAAAAAATATAAATATGCACACAAACATATTTGTTAATAAATATATTACTTATCATTATTTAATTTTTGATATCGATATCTAAAAAATATTTAATTAATTTATTATTATTTAATCGAGAGATCAGAGAAAAAGGAAAATTCTTACCTCTTAGATTAAGGTTTATTAAAATATAAATTTCTATTCTACAGTGCACGCCACTTAAAAACTGAAATCAATAATTTGTCCCATTTTTCGAGCCAAAAATCGAACCGAATTAAGAAATCGAGCATACTTTACGATAAATCATGAGACTTCCGGATTTGTTCATTACTTTTATTCAGCTTAAGATTTGTATTCATCATTATTGGTTAATCCAATCTGGTGTAAAGTTACTATACCTATACTTTGGGAATTACCTTTGAGTCAAGGATGTTATACAAGAAAGCATTGTGTATTCGAACTTATATATCATGTATGGAAACTCAAGCTAGAACTTTACTTATTCAAAATGGATTTGATTTATCATCATCACCTTTTCGGCCATTTTTGATCATCCATCATTCACTCATAAATTTATAATTAATAATTTAGTTGATTTTATTTTATATATTTGCCACTAATTAGTTCACAACAAATTATTGGTCCAGTTCAAAGATAATAACAACAAAAATAATAACGAAATAATCATCACCAAATTGAGAATATTATTTCGTGAAATATGTAAATGATAACGAAACGTTGTTCCTTCTTGGACTGCTTTAAATTGGTAGAGATTCTTATAGAAATTTTCATAATTATGGATATTTTATTGGTTCAATTCTCAAGTTACCTGATGCCTCGAAAACATTTATTAAATTGGAAAGTTTTACTTCGAAGATAGAAGATTATGAACAGATTTATCCATTATATAAGTCATTAAAATTAATTTGTGATAATATTTTAAATATGGATTTGTTCACGTTCACAAATTCTCAAGCGCGACTATTAACAGAACTTATTGGTGCTCAAAAACGTTTAGAGAATCTATCAATTGGCGCTAATATAAATATAGATGGTAATCCATTATTTTGGGCTCATTAGTTAAAAGAAAAAATTAAAGAGTCTTCATTTAAATCAGTAAAATTTTGTCAATTCGAGAGGAAATCATCACTAATTGAACAATTTATTTCGCTTCAAGATCTTTATATCGAAAATTGAGTAGGAATAGATGAACTAGATAGTTTATTCTTGGCTTCATCATTTACCCAACAAGTAGTATTCATTTCAGATATACGTATGGTACGACTCAAGAATTTATTATAAAAATTCTCGAAACGGCCAATACAAATTTAAAAAAGATTTGTCTAGATTCATATTACACAAATAATTTTGATTTATTTTTAGCAATTTTCAATTATTGCACAAAGATTACCGAATTAACTTTACCTAATTTATTACGTGAACTTGTAATGGCAATATTTAATAATAATTTTAATGAATTAAGAAGATTTTTCATTTGATTATGAGGGAAAGGATTTGATGTTGATGAATTATTATGCCAGATGGCAGAGAATGTTCCAAAATCGCTTGAAACTATTTGATGTGGAGATTTATTGCTGATAGTTTAAGAAAAATTTTTGAAGGGTGGTGTTGTAAAGGAGGAGGAAATAAAAAGTTTAATGTAAAAAATGTAGAACAAGCGTTTACTTTAAGTGATGAACATTTCAAAGCTATTGAAGAATACCGGGGTTCAATTTGATTTCAAATAAATTAAATGCCAAATCAGAAAATATATTTAACAATAGAATTTTCATGTTGAGTCATATGTTTCAGTTTTATCGTATCATCTACTTTGCTACGTTAAATATAAAAATATTAATAATGTTGAAAATTCTATGTACTAAAAATTAATGGTATATAAAATATATATGTCATTTCTAAAAAAATTTTGTTAATTAATATTTTTGGTATTGTTTACATAATTATTAGTATCTATGATATTCACGTGTAATCTATGAGATATCAACTTACCATCTTCGTTATTATTTGAAGGAATAAGAGGAGCTTGTTAAGAATCTAAATTTCATTTCTTTAAACAACAAATATTCATTCTATTTATTTAGAAATTCTTTTTATAACAATTGAAAATCATCTATATTAAAAAACTTACACTAATATAAAATCTAAATAATCAAATTGTTATCGGTGATCAACATCTTTAAAATAGCATAATGATTACATCATATATTTTTTCTCACATTCCCAATTTCTTTCCCTTTATTTCTCTCACGAAAATAAAGAAAATGAATTTTACTCTTTTCACCTTGGATGCAACTAAGTACTTTTATCTTTAATATCTTTATTTTTTTTTAAGTGGATGCTTTTCCGCCAGCAACATTAATAATAATTGTATAATATTTCTATTAACTATGCCTTTTTTTTTGCGTTTGTTTTCATACTTTTGTTTTATATTTTAGCTAACTTTATCCTAATTATTTCTTATACTAATCATCATCTTTCTTGTAAATATTTAATTACTTTGTTAATTTTAGCTATCTTTTTACTATGTTTTCTTTTTCTCATCTAACTACTTTGTCACGTTTTATTAATATATTTTCTTGTCCAATTATTTCCTTAGTTGCATTAATTATTAGCTCCAATTGACTTTTTATTTGCATTTTTTATTATGCTTTTTTCATTTAACTAGACATATTAACTAATTGAAGAGGTGAAATTGGTAGATGTAGAGATACAAGACTAATGATTTTAACGAACTTATACTACTACCAATTTTCCAAATATGAGATGAATTTCGTAAAAAGAGAAAGTATCGTTTAGGTCAATTATATTATGAATTTTTGTTAATAATTATTCTTCTTTCTATCAATTACTTTCTATTTTTTATTGACATAACATTTTGTTTCTCTAATATTTTATTTCTGTTGGCTTTTTCTTCTTTTTATTATTATTGGTTTTGCTTTTTTATTGAAGCAACCTTTGGAAAAAAAAGATCATTACTTAATTCTTTTTTTTTTTTTGATTATTTTCTTTAATAGGAATATTTCAAATCAAGATTGTAATTCATTTATAGTGAAAACTCTAATATGCTTATAGCACACTTGTAACACTTTGCATGTCGAAAATAATTTTAAAAAAAGGTTATTCTTTATTAATATATATCTAATAATCTTTATACTCAACAGCATTATTCTGGATAACACTTAATGGAAAGGCTAGATGACGCTAGGAACACTAGACAACATTAGAACACTGGAACACTGGAACACTGGACAACATTGGAACCTTAAAAGCGGAATACTGGATAACACTGGATAACACTGGAACTCAGGACAACAATTGAAGCACTGGATGACATTGTGACACTGTGAATACTGGACAACACTGGAACATTGAAACATTGGGCAACGCTGCACTGGGATACTGGACAACACTGGAGCACTGACCTTGGAACATTGAAACACTAACACTGGAATACTGGAACGTTAGAACACGGTCAACACTGAATGCTAGAGCCCTAGATAATACTGGAACACTGGATACTGGATAATATCGGAACACTGAAATATTGGATAACACTGAAAACCGGATACTCGACAACACTGGAATACTGGAACATTGAACACTTGGCACACTGAAATACTGGACAACGCTGGAACAGTAGATGACATCGGAACACTGGAATACTGGATACTGGACAACACTGGTATATTGGAGAATACTAGAACACTGGAACACTAGACAACACTGCAAGACTGGATACTGGAAAACACTGGAATACTCATAACACTGTAATACTGGAATATTAGTTATCACTGGAACATTGAAGCACTGGAAACTGGCACAGGAATATGGGGAAACTAGACATTAGAACGCTGGAACACAGGAATACTGGATACTGGACAACAATACTACTGGACAATATTGGAATACTGGAATATTGGATAACGCTGGAACAATGGATACTGGGCAGCAATACTACTTGATAATGTTGTATAAAACTGAAACATTGGAACATTAGAATACTTGAAAACACTGGATATATGAAACACTGAGACAATGGGATACTGGAATACCGGACCGGATAATACTGGAATATTGGAATATTGGATAACACTAGATATTGGAGCGCTGAAACACAGAGATACTGGATACTGGACCACAATCCCACTGGATAATATTGGATAACGCTGGAACACTGGATACTGGACAACAATACAACTGGAATACTGGATAACACTGGAACATTGGAACATTAGAATACTGGAAAATACTAGATAATATGAGCACTGTAACACCGGATACAGGATATATGAACACTGGACAACACTGGATCACTGAATACTGGACAACGCTGTAATACCGGATAACATTGGAATGCTGGAATATGGATGACACTGGAACACTAGATACTGGACAAAAATACTGGAATATTGATAACGCTGGAACATTGAAACACTGTGCACACTGAAATACTGAACAACACCAGATGACATTGGAACACGGAACACTGGACAACGCTGGAATACTTGAATATTGGATAACACTGGAACATTGAACATTGGAAACTGGGCACAGGAATGTGGACAAACTGGAACGCTAGATGACTTTGGAAAACCGGAACACTGGAATACTGGATACTGGATAGCAATACTACTGATAATATTGGAACTTCGGAACACTGGATAACACTGGATCACTGAATACTAGACAACACTGGAATATCGGAATACCAGATAACACTGGAACATTGAAGCACTGGAAATTGAGCACAGGGATACTGGACAACACTGGAACGTTAGCCATTTTAACGCTGTAATACCGGATACTGGTGGATAATATGACATTAGACACTGGATAATTATAATAATGATACTGGATAACATTGGAGCACTGGATCACTGAATATTGGACAACTCTGTAATACCGGATAACATTTGAATGCTGGACAACACTGGAATACTAGATAACGCTGAAATACTGGATAATAATGGAATGCTGGAATACGGATAACACTAGAACACTGGATACTGGACAAAAATACTACGGGAATATTGATAACGCTGGAACATAGAAACGTTGTGCGCACTGAAAAACTTGACAATACTGGAACACTAGATGACATTGGAACACCAGAACACCGATACTAGACAACACTGGAATATTTGGAGCACTGGAAATACTGGAACACTGGACTTCACTGGAACACTAGATAACATTGGAACACTAGAACCCTGGATATTGGACAATGCCGGATAACACTGAAATACTTGAATTTCGGATAACGCTGGAACTTTGAACACTGGAAACTGGGACACAGGAATGCTGGTGCAACACTGGAACGCTAGATGACATTGGAAATCTGGAATGCTGGAATACTGGATACTGGACAACAATACTACTGGATAATATTGGATAACGCTAGAACAATAGATATTGGACAACAATACTACTGGATAATATTGGAATACTGGAATATTGGTTAACACTAGAATATTAGAGCATTAAATACTGGAGAACGACTGGAATTTATGGAATACTGGAAATTATGAACAATACTAGTACACTGGATAAGACTGGAATAACGGATGACAATGGAATGCTGGGCAATGCTGGAATACTGAATACTGGATAATAATTGAATGCTGAAAAATTGGATAACACCGGAACATTGAAACACTAGACAATGAAATACTGAAAACATTGGAACACTAGATGACATTGGAATACCGGATCACTGGATACTCGACAACACTGAAATATTGGAGAACCACTGGAAATACTGAACATACCGGAACACTGGAATACTGGACAAAACCGGAACACCGGATACATTGGAACGCTAGAACACTGGAAAACTGGATACTGGATAACAACGGAATACCGGACCGGATAACACTAGAATACTGGAATATTGGACAACACTGGAACATTGAATCACCGAAACGCTAGATGACATTCGAACGCTGGAACCTGGAATACTGGATACTGGATAAAAATACTATGATTAGATTGGAACATCGGAACACTAGAATACTGAAAACGCTGTATATTATGAAACACTGGAAATACTGGACAATACTGGATAATAATGGAACTCTGGAATATTGGATAACACTGGAGCATTGAAACACTGGACACACGAAATACTGTGCAACACTGGAACACTGAAACACTGGATAGCATTGGAACGCTGGACAACACTGGATCACTGAATACTGAACATTACTGTAATATCAGATAACATTGGAACGCTGGAACTGGATAATATTGAAACACTGAAATATTGGATAGCACTGGAATACTGGATAATATTGGAATGCTGGCATAATAACACTGGATCATTAGAGAACACTAGAAATACTGGACATGCTGAAACATTGAACACTGGATACGTGGATGGCAACACCGGAATACCTAATAACGCTAGAATACTTTAATAATGGAATGCTAAGATATTTGATAACGATACTACTTGATAATATTAGATTACTGGAATATCGGATAACACTGGAACACTGGACAACACCGGAAGACATTGGAACACAGGAACACTGGAGACTGTTATTCTTAAATTGGAGCTGAATTCTGGATTATTGGATATGTTGTGATGAGGTAAGCTTATAATTATTTAACAATTTGTTCTTTTCGATTGTGCAAAGCATTACAAAAGTGTTGCATAAGCATTTTATAAATATATAATGACTTGTATTTCATAAGAAGTTTATGAATTTCATGTTTTTACATATCATTATAATTGTATCTGAAATACTGTATATATTTTATTTGCAATAAAGTGAAATAATGTATTAATGAAGCAAACAAGGCATTGAGCATATAGTTTATTGTTCAAAAATTATAATTATTCGTTGAATTTCAAATTTTTGTCAATAATTAAATTTTGAAATTTCCGGAGAAATTAATAAATATATATTAACATTCAAATTCATATTCATCAACAGCATAGCATTCAATGTATGATTTTTATATTTAACTACATCACATACATTGAATTTTATTAATATAGGATGATATGTTTATAAATAATAATCATATTTAGCATAATGTAACGATACATCACAACATATACTTCAACCAAAAAAATAATAACACCCATCTTATGGCTAATATTATTTCCATTACTTGAGTTAAATATTTTATTAGAATATTCATTATAAAACGTTGTCCCGGAATTTAAACTGATGAGACGGAACCAGTAGATGTGTCATTTCTTAACAATATTAATTACCAAAAATACTTTAAATGCACAAATTTTATTTCTTATTAATTAAAATTCCATTTCCACAATCTATCAGAGAAGACGAGATTGTACAACTACTTTTTCAAGAGCGTTAAACAAAAAATGAACACAACTATAATTTATCGAAAAGAATTTAATCATGTACTTATAATTACAATCTTGAACTTATAGATATATATATGCTAGCATTCTTCGAAACGAGAACCACATTATGTAAAAATATTACAAAGTTAGCTAAAAAGGGTTTAGAAATTTCTTTTTAAAAAAAAGGTTCCTTCTTTTTTTTCATTCACAGTATGCAAGTAATCTGGTGCAAATGATAATAATGTCTTTTTAGTCACCCTTATTTCATCATTTCCTAAAACTTTCCTTTACCTCTTGAAGATCTAAACACCAATTTGATACTTGGTTATCCACTTCTTAATATGAGTACTCTTGTATCTGATAATTTTGAAAATTCACTTCATACATAGATGATGGAGAACTTACGAGTTATCTTTCCAAAGATTTGACATTAACTTATAAACAATCATTTAATCATTGTCATTTTAAATAATTGTGCGAATCTATAGTAAATACTTCGTTTTTTATTCATAAAATTCATATATCAAATATAATTATTTTTATTTCATTATTTCAATTCTTTATTTGAAATAAATAAAAAATGCATTAATTATTTTTTATCAATAAAGTTTTATCTGTTATAGGAAACTAATTGATAGATTCTCGGGATGTACAACTTTATGAAATATACTATAATTAATTATAGCAGAAAAACCTCATCTTTAAGACTCACTAAAAACTTCTTGTTCAATAAAAGTAAAAAAAGTGAGTTTCCTTAGTGGCAACTGTAGATTATTGTATTTTATATTTATTCTGATTGGTATATGGATCGCGAATTAAGTAATTTATTAAAGTAAATATAAATCATTAAATAAATCAAACCATTCTATTGATTATCCCAACATCATTAAATTTTCCGGAATCATTTCTAAAGTGCTTAAAGTTTTAAAGTTAAATTAATAGAAAACTCTTTCCAAAGGATTTTTCCTAATTATTGATATTTAAACATTGCCTTCCTCTTGATTATTAATACAATCTCGATTAATTTCTTGCCAATGATATACTTAGTAATTTAATTTATTGAATTATTCAAAAAATCAAATAAAATATAAAAACAAATCTTTTCAAATACTTTCAAATCCTAATTGTAAATCATACTATTTAAAAGATATAGCTGATGAATTTTCAAGAATTCACAATTTTCTGTAGATATATTCATCATGATTTATCCCGGAGACATTTTAAAAAGTAGTTTGGAAAGTTAGTAGCAGTATATTAAGTAAATTAATTACTGAAAACAGAAAAATCCAAAAATAAAACCATTTCTGGAATATTATCAGTATATCTCCTGAAGGTTACTGATGTTTATTCATTTGCATTTATTGCTTATGAAATAATTACTGGACATCCTCCATATCACAAAGTGTTACATGAGGCTTTAAAATATGTAATGAATTTCGACCAAAAAATTTCATTTTAAACAATTGGCCGGTGTTGGGATACTCGAATTACCCAATTTTGAATACTATTGGGAAGAACTTAAGAAATGACAATTCAAGTTAAAAAAGCTGGAGAATTTTAAAATTAAAAAACAACTGATTTTTCAAAACTACTCCGAGACCGCAATTTCCACCAATACATGACTTAGTAATGCAATCCGTATCGCAACCACACTTACCCCAGCACCAAGTAAAACTATTTAACGAAAATAAATTAACAGTTAAAAGAAAACGTGATTTAAACTAGTGGTGACTTGATAAGAGATTATTTACCTTTCTCCGGAACAACAAGGCCATAATAATCAACAGTAAAAACAAAAAAAAAAAAAGAAGAATTAAAGTGATATTTCAAGATTTATATCAAGAAATTTATTGTTATAAAGGTGATTTTGATTAAGCACGGCTCAATTGTTCGTCTATTTTGTTTTTGTGTAGGGTTAAGGAGGGTGGGTTCAGAGAGATAAATATGAACGAGATCTATCCAAAATTACAATCGTAACTCCATCAATCCAATAAATGAGATTAAATAAACGAAAAATTTTATTAATTATTGATAAAAAAGAAAATAAAAAAATTATTAATACGATATTTACCTATTCAATAATTTGATCATTTATTTTTTATTGAAATTTCATAAGTAAACATCTATTTTGTGCAAGAAAAGAAATGAATGAAAGAAGTTATTAGAATAAAATTTTTTAGTTTTTTATCTTAAATTTTTAATTTTTTTTTAATATTTAAATAAACCTTATTTCAAGAGAAAAGAACTTCTATCTCTATCTCTATCAATTGATAATAATTAGATAATAAATTAGATATCGAGAAATACGTAAATAATGACTAATAACAAATAAATTATCTTGTGTAACTTTGATTATTAATTTGGTAATACATCTGAACAGTTGCACACAATTATAGACGTGAGAAGATTATTTTTTTAAGTAAACTTTTCCAAAAAGATGGCAACTAAAATTTCCATAGAATTATTGATTATGATTTTAAATAATGTTCAATCAACTCAAGATTTATATTCAACATTATTAGTTAATCGATTATGGTGTAAAGTAACTATACCTATACTTTGGGAATTACCCTTTGGTCAAGATTGTAAGGATAATTTGAATTTGAGGAAGAAAGCATTATGTATTCGAACTTATATATCGTGTATGGATACTCAAGCTCGAACTTTACTTATTCAAAATGGATTTGATTTATCATCATCGCCACCTCAAGCAACTTTCGATTATCCATCATACACTCATAAATTTATAACTATTAATTTAGTTTATTTTATTTCCATTTATGCACCGCATATTAGTCCACAACAAATTAATTTTCCTTATCATGATGATAATAATTCGAGAGTATTATTTCGTGAGATATGTACATTAATAGTAAATCGTAGTTCATCTCTGGATTATTTTAAATTGGCCAGAGTTCCCGTACATTATTCTCGAATATTTAATAATTATGTTGATTTAATTGGTTCAATTCTCAATTTACCTGGCGCTCCGAAAGTATTTAAGAAATTAGAAATTTTTGCTTCAATGATAAGAGATGATGATGATCAACGGATTAATCCATTATATGAATCATTAGCAATAATTTGTAATAATATTTTAAATATGGATTTGAAAATTAATTCGTATTCATATTCTCGATTGCAATTGATAGCAAAACTTATTAGTGCTCAAAAACGGTTAGAAAATCTATCAATTGTTGATAATTGTTCTCTAGGTCATGATGAGTATGGTTCAATATTATGGGCTATCATTAGTCAAAAAGAAACATTAAAGAGTCTTCGTTTAAAAGATATGGCCTTTTATTATTTCAAGAGAAAATCATCGCCAATTGGACAATTTTCTTCGCTTCAAGAGCTTTATATTGAAGATTGTTGTGGACTAGATGAACCAGATAGTTTATTCTTTGCTTCATCATTTACTCAATTAAATATTTTTCATTTGAGGCTTAACTTTAAAATGTGTTCTCAAGAATTTATTATAAAAATTCTCGAAACGGCCAATACAAATTTAAGAAATATTTGTCTAGACTTAGATTCCACAATTCCATTTGATACATTTTCAACAATTTTAAATTATTGTACAAAGATTAACGAATTGGCTTTACCTAATTTAAGTCTTGAGCAAGTAATAGCAATATTTAATAATAATTTTAATGAATTAAGAAGATTTTCATTTAATTATAGAGAAGGATTTGATGCTAATAAATTATTATGTCAAATGGCCAAAAATGTACCAGAATCACTTGAAACTATTGAAATTAAAATAGACATATTTAGTGCTTATAGTTTAAGAAAATTTTTTGAAGGGTGGTGTTGTAAAGGAGGAGGAGGAAATAAAAAGATTATTGTTAAACGAAAAAAACAAGCGCGACCATTAAGTGGTGAACATTTTAAAGTTATTGAAGAATATGGAGTTCAATTTGATATAGAAGAATATTCGAAATAATATATCAAATAATTCTTTAAATGTAATAAAACATATCTAGCAATAATATTTGCATGTTAGTCTGTTATTTTTTTTTGCGTTAAATATATAAAATATCTAAAATTATTAAAAATACTATGATAATTCCACCAACGCTAAGATTGATAGCTTTGATATAGTTTATAACTAATTACTGATCAAAAATTAAAAATAGTTAATTAAAAAATAATAGTTGTCATAATAGTTACATTTATATCCAATCTCTTAAAGTACATCATCACCACAATCCAATTATTTCATGGAATAATATCAATTGATAAGTACATAGCACTAGACGATATACATTTGTTTTAATGAATTATTTCTCAATATCCCAAATCTGCAATTATACCGGTTTGTAAAAGCCTTTGTTAGTTTGTTGAAGTTTTGTTTGTAAATATAAAAATATACAAATCAAATTAGCACCCCAAAAACCATTGCAGATAGAACCTCGTGTTAACTTCCTTAAAACAATGATAAAAAGAAAGAGAAAAATTCTTCTTTACACTTACCAATACACAGAATATTACTTTACTACTATGCGCGTACAAGCGATGTATTTATTCTTTAAAAAATACATGAGTAATTAAAATAAAAGTTGTTGTAGTTAATTTACTTTATTATAAATTATTTTCTTTAAAAAAAAACTAATTACTTCAGGAATTTCAAGATCAAATTGTTTAGTTTGATATGCTAAATATAAAATGTACAAAATTACATTAATATTGATTAGATTAAATTAGAAATATTACTGAATTAATTATTAATTATTTAGTTGTTGTTCTTCTATAAAAATGAAAATTTGATAAATTAATTAATAAATTATAAAACAAAATAAAAAAAAATATATTAAAAATATAATGCCAAACGTAGATACTTTATTGGTTTGGATTTTTTGGCTACTTTTATCTAATATCAAACTTGATTGGGAAAATTTGATTTTGCAATATTAGATTGAATAGTTGGTTCTTGATTATCTATTTCATTATATAATGACAGAATTAAAGATTCCAATTTTTCATAAATACCTTGCATCAGGTCTATTATCGGGATTAGCATCCTAAATTCTTCATTAAAGCTATACATTCATATGGAATAAATTTGTAAATTTTAGGTAGACATCCAACAACTATTGTGAAAGTAAAATCTGATTCAGAACAAACTTATGATTGCTAAAAGGATTTTCACCAGTAATCAATTCCCACATTATAATACCTAAACTACACACATCTGATTTTGTTGTATAATTTTTTTCACATAAAAGTTCAGGTGCCTTCTTCCTTCTGCCATATATTTAAGATTTTCAAATTCATCATAACTAATCTATTCAATTAACTGCAAGGTGCTACTGTCAATTTCATTATTTCCAGATGTCCAATTTTCTAAATTATTTATGAATACAAATCCACAATATTTGGTTGCTTAATGCCAATTCTGACAATTGTTGCATTGTTGTTTTTCTACAAAATAATTTTTAATTCTTACTGCATCATATATAATCTGTAATTCATAATTAAATAAAAATTTCTTTTAATTTTCTGTGAGAGATTAATCATTTTCAACAATATCTTTTTCACATTTTCTTGCTCAGTAATTGTTTTATAAATATTGGCGTTTGTAGAATAATATGCTATGTCTCAACTCCTCTTAGTTTCACTGGTTGAAAATTGATAAAACATACACATATCGGGTACCCGATATATGCCCAATATTAGGGACACCATGCACATATCGGGTACCTGATATGTGTATGTTTTATCAATTTTCGACCAGTGCAATTAACCATGAAGGCACAATGAGTAAGGTGAAGTAAAAGTAGTAAGGCAGTACCAAACAATATTTAATAGTATTTCACAATATTACGACACAAGATATAAGTTTATTAAAATAAAAAATATAAAGTTTTTAAAAGTGAAGTATCAAAGAAAGTTTACTTTTTTACTCAATATTTATTAAAGTATTTTGAATTATTCTGAATTATTTCTAATTATTAATTAATTCTGATTAACTTGTGACTGTTATTAACTGACTCTCACTAACTAACTAACTACTTACTCCCAACAACAGTTGTATTTCTACTTTCTCTTTTGTTTACACTTATCCTATATCCTTTGTACTTCATTCTTCATCCTCTGTGCATCATCCTTCATCCTCATACAGCATATTATAGATGGCTACACAAAGATGAAAAACCATTTGAAAGTCACAAAATATTATCCCCATGACATTTCACCTGATTACCAATTTGCTTTGTCACGATATGGATTATCATGTTGAATAATAAATGGTAATACAAAGATGATTGTACGATCACCTGGGATAATAACTAGTGTTGTCATCCAAAAGATATTGTGTAAGGATGAAGGATGAAGTACAAAAAATGACAGATAAAAATTGAATAAAGGTAAAAAGATATAAAAGAAGTAGTAATCTTTCTTAGAGTCTTAGTAGTATTATCCGTGTAAACCTTCTACAATTTACAAAGACAATGAGATAAAATAATACTAAAACTAATAAATAAAACTAAGTATAACTATAAGAATTACTAATCTCATGACAAAATTATTACAATACAAGGGTTTATACGTAGAAGGAATTATGTATGATCAATTATGAAAGAGGTGTATTTAACTATTAAAAGTGGTATGAAAACTTGTTAATAGGAGCAAACAGTTTATCAATTATCAAAATGAATACAACAAACGGGGAACTCAAAGGATTTTGTAATATTAACTTTATTACTTAATAAATCCTAACTAATTCGAAAACTAAGAAACTGACT